ACCCACCCTTTCAGTATTTATAGGCGTTGATCAGATCCCCCCTCAGCCTGGTCTTCTCTAGAAGAAGTCTTCTCTCTCAATACCATCCTAGAGGCAGAACGGGTGAACCCACATTCTTTATACTCTCTGCAGTGACAGGATAACAGGCAATGAACACAAGTTGCAGTGAGGGAAATTATAACTATATATTTCCCACGAGAAAAACCATACTATGAGGTTTCTCAAACACTAGAACAGGTCACATCCCATCATTAGATTCCAAACTGATCCAGGCCGTGACAAAGTTGGGCCCAGCTTTGAACTCAGGGGGTCAGAGTGGACCAGAGCTCCCTCCCAAATGAAATTATTCAGTGATTCAAAGAGTCGTTATGATTCCTGTGTTTGGGATAATTTTACCTGAGTGCAACCTTGTGGCTTGTGGATTCCTCACCTCCAGTCAGTGACCTCAAGGAGCTCAATCTTGTTCCTGAAAACCTGCAACTAAATAAACCTGCCTTCTTGTAAGAAGGATTCACACCACTGCTAGCACTTTGGATTAATTATATGGCTATTATCCTAATGGAAACAGCCAGGGTAGGTAATTGAAGACATCTTGAAATAAAATAGATAAATGGTAGCAGAAGCAGCTGTATGCTTCAGAGCAAAACCATCATTAAAAACCATCTGTAAAACTCCCCTAAATACAATGAACTTTGCTGTATGTTTTTGATTGACCAAACTATATTTTAGGAAAGGTTAGACGAAAAAATTATTAATAGTGTTGCAGCAAAAAAAACATTCTTTATTTCTTAGGAGGAGTCAATTCCTACTTGGTTTTTGTTGAATTTAGGGAATCCATGCTAAATTATTTTTAACTGAGCATCTAATACCTAAAGTACTTTTAAGATCAGTCATTCACTGAGAATAAATCACTAAAAATCCTTGTTGCAGACCTTTAGTTTTGTGTCACAGAGTGAGTGCCTCCACATGTTTTTCTAATACCAAAGTTCTTTTCAAAATGGAAATGTCTCTTAATTAATTTAACTCTTACAATCTCTTAATTAAATTAACTCTTACAATAATGTTTCTGTTCCCTCTAGTTCGTGAAAAAAACAATAAATTTTTTTTTGTTATTTCAAGAAGCCCAGTTCTGCAGATCCTCATTTAACAAATGCTGGAAATACGCAGAAAGCCAGAAAGTACACCTGATACAAGGTGTGCTTTAAAGTGATTAACTGGTGGCAGGAGGGGCAGGAGTCGTTGCCAGCTTCAGCAGAATGCTCTTCTTCACCACCAGTGCTGCAGTTGCATTTTCAGTTTCTCCAGATGCTGTACTCTTTTAGATCATCTTAAACCTAAGGTAGAGTCAGATACTAATCGCATTCCTGGGTCTGTCCCTGTTTATTTTAACCACAACCCAAGAGAGTATTTCGCAGCTGGTGATGGAGGTAGATGGTGTGTACCTGGGGAGGGTAAGGTGGGTTCATGCCCTGTTCCTCTGCGAGGTTCTCTCATCTCTCTTGGGTTTTTTTTTGGTGGACATCAGAAATGATCAGTAATGGCTGAGATTTAGCCCAGTTTTGGGCTGTTGTTCAGTTTTACAGATTCACTGGGGTTTATTTTGCAGTTGGTGGCTTTAATAATTTATTATTGTGATGGGGTTTAAAGGTTTTAAAACCCTCATTTGTCTCATATCCAGAAAGATAACCAGCTCCTGCAATATATTATCGCTGGTAGAATTTACAGTTCTTTGTTATAATACTTCTGGCCCTTGAGACTAATTAATCAAGGCTGAAATGCATGTGCTTAATTTTGGTGAGCCAGATTGATGCAAAATACATAATTAGCCACTTTGTTGAAGTGTGCATATTACGGTTCAGTGACTAATTTTCTGGTCAGTGAATCACAACCTTATGTCTCTTTTTTCGTATTTAAACACTTCATTTTATGATAGTTCTTGGATTTGAAACCATTCTAGACATAATTCATGCTTAGCATTTTAATAACTGCCTCTGCTTTGTGGTTTTGCAAGAGAGAAATATTTATTCATCTCTCTTAAATTATAAATTTATAATTTGTGGTTTATTTTAGTTGCAAGTTAAACATAGTTATTTAGATTCATATTCTTAAGGTCATGGAGTGTAACAGGGCAAAGGGTTTGTAGAAACTGTAATTGTTGGCAACGCAATGTCCCATTCTGCAAATTCACAATTCTGTACCTACAACTGCAATCAGTCGTAGAGTGAATGCTTCCAAATACTTATTTTCAGACACTTTAGAAATTTAGAAATTTTAAAGCAGTAAATTGTAGGAAAGTAAAACATCCCTGGCTTATTTCTGTTTTGGAAAACATGTGCTTTATACTTTGTCATTGCTTGGAGGCTTGTATTCCTGTATCATCTAACAGCTTCGGGTATCACTGAGGAATATCGCTTTGACATATGATCCAAACCTTTTAAGTCACATCAGTAGCTCTGAGTGGCCTAGGCATGAGAAGAAAAATTCAATTTATAAGGTTTAACCTTTTTCCTTCCTACCTAAACTCGCTGGTCTGTATGAAAACACTATGGCAGTGCAGTCCAGTGTGTCCAGACCTCTCCTAAATAACAAGGAGTTATCAGGTGTGTTACATATTGGCTGTTCCGGGTTCTCAGGGTACAAAAATGATTGTGTGAAATATTTAGAGTCTGGTGTTTCCTGAGGGAGGGGAAGTGTCAGGCAGAGGGCAGGGGGGAGTACGGTATTTGCTTCGCTTTGCGTGGTTCCCTAATTCCCCACATTGGGGTGTTCATCTCCCTCGTGTGTTCACAACCCTGGTGCTCTCTCTGCTGTGTATAAATACTACTCCCATGCATAATGCTGCTTAAGGTGGTTTTTTAAAACAGAAGTGGGTTGAGGGTTTTTTTGCATATTGTCTCTTAATTTGTTTTTACGTTGAGGGGACAGATGCGCAGCAAATATGGGTTGAATCTTTTTTTACTTCATGTAGTAATATCAAAACTTTGTTCTTCCTCTCAGCTGAGACTGAAAACATGGCTGGTTTGGTCTTCCTAATACTTGGCTGTAAAATTAAAGTTCAGGGGAAGCAGGATCCGGGTGGGTCAGTGTGCACGACAGAGGAAGCATAGCGGCCATGAAGAAACCTTCTTTTTCTTTCAGCCCAAGGTCTTTATCATTTCTGAGAAGCAATGTCATATTTCATAATTGCAGGATAAGAGTGCCAGACTGGGATCTGGTTCGATCAGGAATAAAATGCTGATGCTGTTTCCTTGGTTTTGTTCTAGTTTCTGCTGTATTTTCTGTTAATGTTTTTGCACTAAGACACTGCCTTGTGAATTCTTTTCAGACCACCCTGTGTCAGTATTTCAAATGAAGTCACTCGTTCTCACCTTTCTTACCCATTGGGAAGGACTTATTGACTTGGATATTTTGATGATGTTGAAATAATCTCCAAATGGTATTTCTGTCTGCAGTGCCTGAGTTCACAGAGTCTGACAAACCCTTTGGCACAGGGATGGGTTCAGGGTCCGTCACTCATTGGCTTAGGCACGGGTGCCAAATCCCAAACCACTTTAGCAGTGTAGGCAGAACATTTTCTTACATGGAATATAATGCACACTTCTACCTCTTGTTCCAGTAGTAAATTGAATTAGTAATTTCAGCCAAATATTGTGGAAACAAATAATTTACCATATGCAGTGTCTCAGCCTCACCTCATCATGCTTTTCAGCTCTGCATAAGACTTTTTGCACCTGTAATTACCTAATTGTCTCTCTGGCGTGCTAAGAAAATATCCCCTCAGCTTGACATCTTTAAATTGTGCTTTTGTTCAGTCGTTTACAGTGTTGGTGCTGTGTAATGGGGTTTTATCATTAATGCTATAGATAGCAAAATATCTAATTACAGTTATGCCGCTATGCTGAAAAAAGTGAATCCGAGTCAATTCTGAATTTCTTGCTGAAAGCAGGGTTGGGAAGCAGGTCCTGTAAGTCTCAACCAAGAAAGAGGCAGTGCCCTTGTGTTTTGTTATGCTAAAGAGCTGTGCTCCCTGTGCTCAGCAATAGATAAGCATGGAGAAGAACGCTCCTTAGCAACACGAAATAAATTAAAGATGTAAATGCAGCTTAAAATTAGGGAAATAGTATCTGCCAGACCTTAAAATGTGGAAATAAGTTCTCTGTTATCGGCAGGAGGAAGGCAAATGTAAAAGCTGAGAAATATCTTCCAAGTCAGGATGGAGAGAGGTCACCCTGGTGCATGTTCCTCTCACTGAGAACTGCCCAAAGGATGTCCGTGCTGTTACCCAGCATCTCTGGGGGCTTCAGGGCTGCTCGAAAGGGAATGGAAGTGATGATACATTTTTCAAAAATTGCCCCGCTCTGGGTTTGTGTCAGTACGGCTCAAACTCAGAGATTCATTTTTACTGAAGTTTGGGGTGAAGGCTTTAGTGGTAACTTCTTTTTTTCCCCTGCCATGGTCTGGTCACTCCTGGCCTCACTTTTGGGGTGAAGGCTTTAGTGGTCACTTTTTTTTTTTCTCCTGCCATGGTCTGGTCACTCCTGGCCTCACACACAGCATCCCTCTGGCAAATACCATCCACAGAACCCATCTCAAACCATCACAGCCACCTATCGGTCTCTTCTCCCAAGGAACAGGCGATGGGACAAGAGGAAATGGCTTCAAGTTGCTCCAGGGGAGGTTCAGATTGGATATTAGGAAACATTTTTACACGGAAAGGGTTATCAAGCCTTGGAATGGGCTGCCAGGGGAAGGGGTTGAGGCACCATCCCTGGAGGTATTTACAAGCCTGGTTGACATAGTGCTTAGAGACATGGGTTAGTGATGGGTTTTATCAGAGTTAGGTTGATGGTTGGACTTGATGATCTGAAAGGTCCCTTCCAACCTGGACAATTCTATGATTCTGGGAGAAAAAGGCTACCCCCTGTACAAGACAGGGCTAAAACTCCAGAACTTCGGTAAAACCACAGGAGTAATATTTTTCTCTCTGGTGTTTTGCGTAGGTTTGTAATTGGGCGGGAGAAGCCGGGACAAGTGAGCGAGGTGGCCCAGCTCATCAGCCAGACCCTGGAGCAGGAGCGGCGGCAGAGAGAGCTGCTGGAGCAGCACTACGCCCAGTACGATGCGGACGATGACGAGGTAACAGACTGCCCAGAATTCCACTGTTCACTGGTTTTTAACGTTCTGGTTTCTGTCCTTAATTCCTGCTTTTTAATTGCTGCTCAGCAGTATATTTCTCGCCCTCTCCATTACCTCTCCTGTTGATTTTTTGCCGATTTCGATGGTGAATCTTATTGGAAGAGCAAAGTTACCTAAAAGCTCTTTTTGTTTTGTTCCAGAAGAGCAAATATCAAATTAGTCAATGCTTCTGTAATCATTGCTTTTCCCCTGAAGGTATACGCTTTTTCTGAAATGAGGGAATTAAGTTGATTTGCTTCTGCACTGAAAAAACAGTGTTTTGTGAAAAGTGGTAAAAGCCGCCTTCTAACTTTTAGAAAGTTGAGGAAGTTTGAGACTATTTTTTTCCTAGAAGAATTGTTCTTCTTAACTCAGAACATTAGGAAATTTTCTGAAAATTCCAGGTAAGACACATCCATCTGCACACTGCTTTTTGTTTGTGTGTGAAGAGATGCTCGGCAGGATGAAGAATGAACCTGCCTGGTAGATGTTCCTGATTAGCAGGATGTTCCTGATTAGTAGAAAGGGTTTGAAACTATCAACTTCATACAGAAAATTTTCCATAATTTTTTCCCATTCTCCTAAAATTCCTAATATGCCTGGATACCAAGACACTTGGAAAGATTAATGAGAGGGGTTTTTCAGAGACTGTCTGTCTGTCTGCCCCCTGATTTAGCTGCTGGGTTGAGGTAAAAGGCAGTTGCTGTAACAAACCACTCCCACGTAGCCCACGCCACCTTCATTTCCCATTATCTTCAATAATATTATTTGAAATGCCAGACTCCATGTGTTGGTGTTCTCTCATCCCGGGCCAGATTTTCTCTTTTATTTGCAGAAGGAGGCAGTAGGAAGGAGGAGATAGAGAATTCATACTATGCATTTATTTCAGTTTAGCTTTCTTCTAGGTACTGGGACAAGGCTTCTAAACATAGAAATAGAGAAAAAAAAATACTCTGAGATAAAATCAGGATATGCTCAGATTTTGAAGCACACTGTTAAGGTAGCAATAGGTGAGAACTGTCAGAAGTGTCCCAGAAGACTAAGTAAAAATTGTGTGTAGCCCCAGTGATACCTTCACTCACTTTAATTTCCACTGATATTAAGAATAAAAAGTTTAATATTTTAATATGTTTTAGAATGAATCCTGTCATAGGTGCATATTTAATTCATATAAATAAAAGATGTCCTCATCTGTGTTGGGGATGCATAGGTACATGTGCCTGTGTGAGACCATGAAGGTTAGAAAACCCATATCCTCTCTGTTCCCTCCTCAAACTCTAGAGACATGCAAGTCTTCTTCTAACTTGTGTTTAGTGTAGAATTAAAATTCAGGATCTTGACTAAGTTCTTGAAGGAACTCTATCATCTCCTCCAAACCAAAAAAGAGACAGCTTGTCTAGCCTTGTTCTCTTTTGTTACTGCGCTGAGGAACACTTGCGTGGTCACCAGTAATGAAAGAGGACAAGGATGAGCACACAGAAAGTCCTCAGGTACTTCTTGTGATGTGTCATGTTGTCCTTCGTGCAGTTCAGTGGTTACAGACTCTCAAGCCCTGTTCAACACATAAATTTTTCACAGAAAAATACTAAATGCACTAAGTGTTTTCTATTGGTATGACCTTTGGATGATAGAGAGAAATCAAGGCAGGACAAGTGATGAGCAGATTTAGGGCATCTTTTCAATTGTAATGCTATATCGAGGTCGATGGCCACCTCTGTGATGTGATTTTTGGCCATCAGCTTACACGGTGCAAAGGGGACTTCTACCCAGTATGTGAGGACAGAAGGAAGAAAGGAAAAGACATCTACCAGAGATCCAGAGAAGATTGATCTCTTTTGGAAGAAGAAGAAATTAGGCTTCAGAACACACGCAGTACGTCAGTTCTCAAAACCACTGTGATCAATGAAGATCTTACCCATTTACTATGTGATGCCATATGTGGGAGGAGGGTGGTAAACCTTATTCTCAGAGTAGGTGGCTGGTGTGTAGTTACTAACGTTGCAGTGAGACATGTTCCCTTTCTTAATTAACAGACTTACCACAAGTAGATTTTATTGGGAACCTGCAGCAATCCTGAATATTTATATTTTTTTTGTCACCTGGCTTTGCCATCCCAGTAACCTCCCATCACTTGCACCATTCCCAGGCAATGGACATGATGGAATCTGTGATCTAATGCACATTAGACACAGTTCAGGGACATTTTTGGTCACCACAAGCACTTCTGCTCCATTTACTGTCAAATAAAAGCATTACTACTTAGGACTCACCTTTCTCTGTTGGGGTAGATGTTGGGTTGATGTTGCTGTCCCTGCAGTCTATGGTTTTGGTAAGCAAGGCATCTTTGGGGCAAGAAAATCTCAGTTTACCCTGTCTGAATTAATGTCCACAAATGTAGAAAAAACCCTACCCTTTCGAGTCTGTTTCCTCAAAGTGACAGTGATTCCAGCTGCGTGAAATTCAGGAATATCTGGATCCCTGAAGGAGTTTTGTGCCGAGGTGGCACAGAATTACACAGGAGTTGCTCGGTCTCAGAGCTGTCAAACTGTCCTGGTCATTTTCATACAGTTCTTACAACACACACAGGGCTCTCAAGCCACAATGCTGTGGAAATAAACAAGAAAATGATCTTTATCCAGCCCTCCATCCAGGCTGTCGGATCCCGAGCCTCGGGGAATTTACCACAAAGACAGCAATAGAGCATCAGCAACCTTCTCGTTTCATGTGAAGCGAAAGCCAGCAGAGATATTTTTATCAGAGAAAGTATGTTTCATGTAGTTTATGACATGTATTTCTTTAAAGTACGCCTCGGTTCTTTTGAACCTGTAATTTGTGTTCCATGTGATCATAAGATCGGATCCCTTTCTTTTGAAGATGAAGGCAAAAGTCCCGTTTGTCTGGGTTCTGTAATGTGTTTGTGCCGTCCTGCCGTCGTGTTTACCTCAGCAAACGGCGCTGTTTGGCTTTGATGACTACTTTTTGCATTAATTCAGACAAAAATGGCTGTGCCTATCGACACTCATTATGTACAATTGGAAGCAAGATTTTCCTTTGTGTTCGTTTTAAGCTGCCTGATGTCTCTCTTCAAACACTTTAGCTCCCGAGGCCAGCAGAATATTGCCTGCTCTTGAGTTTTTCCCCCAAATAGCTTAGTCCTTCGTATGTGTTCGGTTTTCTTTTTGCATGAAGTACTTCTTATTGGTTAAACTCTTTGGAGGAATCAGTTTTAACTAAATTCATCTGTTTTGTTCTTTTACCAAAATTGGTGTTAACTTTTTTTTGGTTGAAGATGGCTGAGATTCTTAGTCTTAGTAGATATAAAGTATGCAAAATAAATGGTTGCTGTTTATTTCATTGGAGAATAGGCAAATATTCATTTATGGAGACAGAGGGAGCTCTCCTGAGAAGTGCCTTGCGTTAACAGTGACATTTAAAGAACGGATGGGTCATGCATGTTGGTGACTTACCTTTGTTTTGATAGTTACTTTAACATCAGAAGATTTTGCCAAATCATCGTATGCTTTCTGTGTGTTTTGGCTTTGTTCTTTAAAACTTGAGCGGTTTTCAAAAAGGAAAATCTCAATTTTTCATGAGGTCCCTTCCAACCCAACCCATTCTACGATTCTATGTGTTATTTATCCAAGAACTGGTGATGTTTTATTGCGAGTATAGCACCCTGTTGTTGGATCCATGCATATCACTTTTCTGTCTGTGTATGTCATTTAGACTTAATTTAATGAGCTTCCATGTGCTGCTCTTTAATTGAGAGAGATTCACATAGGCCTAAACAAGAGCTGGGAAATGAAATTAAGGTGGGAAGTTGAGACTGGAATTGTTGTTGGGGCATCTGAGTTCTTACATCTTGTTTTGAAAAGTTCTTTTTGGCAAAAAATGGCACTAATAGATAATCCTAGCGCTACTGGGAATATCTTTCTGATAATTTTTTATGTGCCTTCATCTCAGGAATGGGAAGCTCATGACCAAGAACTAGAGTAGTTTTGTCAAGATTTTGGTGTTATTAATGTATAAACATAAGCAGAACTGCACCCCTTCCTCCACCCTTCCTTTTCCATGTATTTATTGAGTCCCGAGCTTTATAAATCCAGACATGGCCCCGAGGGAAGCGTTTGGGTTACTGTATGTTTGGGCAGCCCTTTGCATGGCCCACAGGCTGTCCCGCATCCCCAGGAGATGCTCCCCGCTGAGGAGGAGTGGTACCCAACCACCTCAGGCATTGGGAAGGATGATGATAAACGATTGTCCAGGCAACTTGGGGTTTAATACTGCAACCTTTTTCTTTTTAATACTATTGTTTTGTTTTGTTTAATATTGGAATACTGATTGTAGCTCGTGATTATTTTTTTTTAATTCTGTATTGTCAGCAAATTGTTCGCATCTCGTGGTTTACTGGCCCAAGAAACATACTTTTTTGTTTTAAAATTGGCTAGAAGCAGCTCCTTATTCGGGGTGAAAATTCAGTGAACTCTGACTTGAGTCTCTGAGCTTATCTCTGACACTCAGTTTCTTTTTCCTGCTGCTGTCTTTCGGGGGGGCTGTGAGTTTTCTATTGTTTATTTGTTTATAAAGAACAAACGAGTGGATTTTCAAATTCAGCATGGAATATCACTGGAGAATGACTACCTCCAGAGGGCTTACAAAAGACCAGTCAAGGTCTAGTCAGTCCTACTCTGCTTTTGTTTCTGTGTGGAAAAGATTTCTTGTTAAATTTGAGATAAATTTGGAGAAGTCTTCCTATGGAAGAGAGGGCCTGGTTTGGAAAAGGATGAAAACCCTTGAACTCTACAGCCAGTTGTGCTGAAGCACTGAATTCTTAGTTACTATTTTCTCCTTTCTCTTCATGCTCTGAAATACTACAGTGGAGTTGTATTTTTTTGTCTGGTAGAATTCATATGTGCTGGGAAAGGAAAAGCTGACCTTTTTCATATGCATTATGCTGCAGTTGCACACAGCACAATTAGCTTAATTACTCTTTGAACAGTTTCTGCTTAATAAGAGGATAACTGGAGTTTCTTAAATGCTGTAAAATTAAGACAGGGGAATATGCTACAGATGAAGAAGATGAAGACATGGGACCCGTCCTTCCAGGAGGTGACATGGCCATTGAAGTGTTCGATCTCCCTGAAAACGATGACATGTTCTCCCCCAGCGATGTGGACACCGGCAAGCTCGCTCACAAATTCAAAGAGGTAAGGGGTTGGTCAGAAAATATTTCTGAAAAATCTCCCTGGAATTACATTTCGAGTTACCTCATTGCTCAGCGCTTGATTTTTCTCTTCACTGCCCGAGTTCATTTCTCACTGGTTGTATACTCGGTATTGTTGGGTTTTTACCAAACCTCTGTGGTTTTAGGGTTTGTGTAGCATCATTTGTACTGGCTGAGGCTGGAATCACTGATGTTTGTTGTGGTCAGTGAATTCATGTAACTGCACTCACCGAAGTACCAAGAAGTATTTCTCCTGTACTTTGGGTAGCGCTCCTGATGTGGTTTATTCCCAAACTTTACTGAATTCTGATGCAAATAAAGACATGAAACAATTGGCTTTATCTAAGCCCACAGTGATGGGCTGAGTGATGACAATAAAGAAAATTTTTCTTTTTAAAAATGCAATGAAGATGGAAGGAGTGGAAGTACCCAGGAGCTCACAGGATATTCGAGCAGCAGAGCCCTTTTGGGCCCAGAGTGGAGTTTTAAAATAGAGAGGCTCCCTCTTTATCCTTCTTCCACTATTCTCTCCCCTTCCCTTTCCTCCGTTCAAACCAGATATTTTATTTTCTATAAATAGTTGTTGCTGTTACTCTCTGGAGAGAGTAATCTATGGAAAGTAATCAGTCACCGAGCAACCTGTCCTTCCCTTTTCTGCTGATGCCCTTTGCAGCTATTGGAGGCCTACAATTCATCGTTGTTTCCTGCAAGTTTTTTAGTTTACTGAGGTGATAATTTCCTCACTCCATATTTCAAGTTCCAGGCTCTCATGCGAATTAACAGAGCAGTTTACTTGAGTTCCTAATCCTTTGCGTGATACATAGTGATGCTTTCTCGAAGCCGTACCAAAGCACAGACGCAGCGATGGGCAGGACACTGACCTTGTAATAAAATACCTGTAAAACTCTGCTTGAATCCACTTGCCATCAGCGTGGGCTGTTGCCGTACTTGAGACCTGTCTGATTTCATGGCCTCAAAACGTTGGTGTAGAGCAGATCATATCAAGGGACTTTGGGATCCTCCAGCTTGGGTGTAGGTGAGACCCCCGAGAAGAAAACATGAAATGCTCCTGGATGAGAGTGGGCTCTTTCAGGGGCCCCCGCAGTTCCTGCTGTTAGGAGCATCCTACTTGTGTTTCGCTGATTGTATTTAACAGCACACAGCTGCGTTTTGTTGGCTGCTACAGAGAACATGTATTTTTCTTGGTATTAGCCCCGAATTCTTTCAACACTAGAGGACTTGTTCACGATCACGCTGCACAAGCCCACACAGTGTTTTCTGGAATTGTGTTTGAAGAATAACTGTTCTTTCTTGTTCTTACTGAAAAGATTAATGAAAAGTATTAAACAAGTGGGTTGGACATAATCTTTAAGCATAATAGTTTGACCTAATTAGTTGAATTCAGTCTTTGCAATGAAAAACGTGCTCAAATACTTTAAGAGCACTCTTATTTGAAATGCCTTGCTTTTGGAATGCAAGTCAAGAGGAGAGATGGGCATTCCGGGGTGAATCACTCTGCTCCTGCAAGTCTTGTTTTCCTGGCTGGGAAACAGCAAAACTGGGACTGATTTTCCTTATCTTCCTTGTGAGAAAGAGTTAGAAGCTTTGTGTTAGGCGTGATCATTGAGGAAAGACATATGCTGTAGGGAGAAGGGACATCTTATGTGAGAATTAGGCATTATATTTCACATCTCAATGAAATCTATGGAAAATGAATTAATATTATTAATATCAATATTATTATTATTAAGAAATACAGTATTATAGAAAACTTGTTGTGGAGATTATTAGATCCATTGGGTATTTTCTTTCCTGCTGTACTGCAGGTATTGAACTTTTTCTAGCTTTTCATCCCATGCTGCCTTTTTCAGTCTTAGATGAATTGAAGCTATTTTCCCTAAATCGTTTTCTAAAAAAAAAAAAGAAGGTTTTATAGACTTGAAGAAAATTAATCAGCTATTCAAGACATCTTTGCAAAGATGTTCTTTGCCAAAAATTATTCAAAATGTCTTCTGGTAAAGTGAAGCCTTCAAAGCTTTATGTTGACTTATAAAACAAAAAATACAAAATATTATCTGCCAAGAATTTATCTGGCATTATATGGGACATGGAATAAGGCATTTCTGTTCCCCTTTTAGAAAACTTGCTTTAAGATTCTTAATTATGGATGCTAGTTTTGCTTGCCAAACAATTGACCTTGCCTGTTGTTCAGTCTAACCCATAAATGTGTTGATATTTCTCATCTATTCTGCAAGCGTATTTAGTTCTGTTTAAAAAAAAAAAATAAGAAAAAAAAAGACAAAAGGAGATGTCCAGTTCCCCATTTGTCTGTTGGGCAGGAAAGTGTCTTTTTCCTTCTGCCTCAGTGGGATCTTCTCTACCATGGTCTGATTCAATGAGCCCACTGCGCACTCAGTAGTCATTTTTTTTAACTTAATAACAGAGCCTATAAAAATAACTGTTAAAACCATCTGTACCTGAGCAGATTGTCATTTATGCAACAATTTGGAGATGATTTGTGTGTAACAATAAGCCGTTTAAGTGCTGCTCACTGGTTTGTGGGGTTTTCAAAGGAGATGGGAATGGACTGGAAGCAGGTAGCCTAAGGCTTTGAGACTTGGCCTTTTGATTTCATTATTAACTCTGCAAAGGGCAAAGCCTGGCTCATCCCTCCTTCCCCTGATTTTATCTCACTCCAAAACAATGAGGCAGCAGAGCTAAGCAAAGGCCTGGGCGCTTTGTAAAAACCACCACATTTTGAGATGATTCTTTCATAATTTTTCACCACTAACAGAAATGGAATGGTGAGGAAAAAACAATCTCTGAAAACTGCAGGTCAGAGGTTGGACTGAGGGAGCTCAAAAATTGCAAGTGACCTCTCACAGATGCTCGTTAAGTGTCTCCTTAGTTTCCTCTACTCTGTAGAAAAGTTCTATCTCCTCCTCAGCTCCCTAGCCCATAGGATGGAGCGGCACCACCGGCCACTTCTTGCACTTAACACCGGTGTGTTTTACACGTTCCTGCAAGCGGTTCTGGTCAGTGATGAGTCTCATTTGAAATGAAGTTTTACATCTGCTTTCACTGAGCCCTTTGTCTCACTTTTCCATGCAAAGTCAAAAAGTCAGCGTGAGTCAGAGATGATCCCGGGGACGAGAAGTGCTGACAGCCTCCTCCAGAGAGTGACCAAGAAGTGAGGGGTGAAAAGAAGATTCCTCAACTGTTCCTCAGATGGAACTGGTTGCATTCAGTGTCTCCTTTATCCCTTCCAGCCTAAACTCAGTAATTCTGGACCAGAAAAGACTAGTTTTATTCACTAGATGAGTTAAGGCTGATTTGCAAACCAAACTGTGTCCTGTGCCACAAGGACAGTGTTCAAGAGGTCCCATAAAGAGGGAATGTCAGAAGTAGCTCAGCCTTTCTCAGAGATACTTGTACCCATCAGCTCCCTGATGGCTCCTCTTGCTTTGAAAATTGTTCCTCTCCTTCTCTTTTGAATTATTTGTCCATTGTTTTACTAACAGCCTGGGCTTCAGGAACGTAGCCGTTGCTTCACCAGCGGTGATAATTTCTGGTTCAGCACAGCTCCCTCACGTACTCCATTAGCTCAATGTAAACTATTCCCAAAGGCCCCCATGAGTCTTGTAAGAGAATTAACCCCCACATAAAACATGCTTTTCTGTAACTATTCCTGGTATTCATAAATGATGGAGGAAGGCTTTGTCTCTGCTGTGGTGCCAGCTCAGGCTGTCATTCAGGTTTGGTCCTTGCCCTCAACCCAACATGCAGAAGTCACTGATGCAGATTAAACACTGCTTTAGTTTGAAGGTCTGGGGGCCCGTCGGGAGTTTGTAGGTGCTGCTCACTTTAAATGACAGAGCAGGGGACACTGGGGTGCAGAGCAGTGCTGGATGCCTGATAATGTCCATCTGGGTTGGGGGTAAGCTGTTGGAGCTGCGGTTGGATTTGTCCTTCAGAGCGTTCATGGAGCCTGGGAATAGCAGCCCTTTGGGGTGAAACTGCAGATGTTTGAGGGTGCTGCCCAATGCATTCGGAGAGCTCCTGAGTATTCACTGCCCAGCATCAGAATAAGGTGGGTTAGTCCCAAAGAAATGCCCCCAAAAGTTGGGCATGTGGGTGCCAGGTCCCAGCACCCACCTTTTCACCGCACAGACCCGCTGTTGTTGTGGTCCCCTCCTTGGTAGTGCCCCGACAGCCTGTACCACCCTGCTGGCTGCCAGTCCTGTTCTCAGCATCATTCCCTGGTTTGTACCATTCCCCGTGTAACTGCTCCCAGCTGAGACTGGCTGGCTGGAGCGGGGTCACTCCAGCTGGTGGTGGAGGGGGAGAGCATCAGTTTACCTTTTATTCTTGCACGAAATAAATACGTGGCATCTTCCCTGAAGGTTTTCCCAACTTCTGGAGTTGTTAAATCACTTATTTTCATATTTGCTCTTTTGTAACGTGCCTGCTTGAATCAGCGCGGTGGGACTGTGCCAGCACTGGGAGGTGTTTCAGGCTCACATCAGAGGGGAGCAAAGCCCAGCAGGATAACATCTTTCTTTTTTTTTTTTCTTTCTTTTAAGCATAAGACATTTGGTTTTGCTAAACAGATTGGATGTTCTGATTTGAAATTATGAGTGGTTAGACGGCATCCTATCTTTAATTAGGTTGCACAGTCTGAGTCATTTTGCAAGCTAGACATTTTAATTTACAATCTACTGCACTGCAGCACTCTCCAAGGCCTTCTGCTGTGCAGTGAGGTATTCCACTGGCAGCACAGGCTGCAAAAATACTGGAGTACTCTCTGTGACTTCACCTGTTTATTTTATATTTTCCATTTTAGTTGCAAATCAAACATGCAGTTACAGAGGCTGAAATTCAGAAGCTGAAGACGAAGGTAAGAATCAATACTCGGTTGATACGTGCTGGTTTTAACTCTCGATCTGAAGAGATGTGCCTTGGTGTGGGTGGAGGAGTCAAGGGCCTGATTAAAGGCTGATTAGGAAGCGCGGTGGCTCAGCTCGATCTTGTCTCGGGTACATGCTCTGTTCGAAGTTTCAAGTAAAAACCCAAGTGCTGCTATTAAGAGAAACTGCCAACTTGCGTAGCTTCAGTGAAACGTACATTTTAAGGGGTATCGTAATGACTAAATGGCACATTTCTAGTTTTACAAGTCTAATTGTTGTAAAATTGTATTTGGATTGAAAATTCAAGACTAAGTTAGGGTTTTTATTTACCAGTGATGTCAAAGTATCCTGTTTATGTTCCGTTTTTTTGGCATTGTCCGTTAAAAAACCTCATTTATTTAAAGGTATTTGTTAAAACCCACTTTTTTATATGCAGAAGAAACGAGATGTTTCATGTTGCTGCAGTTCATCTTAGAAGATACTTTAGAAAGCAAAGAGCTTACCAGTTTAACAGCAAACATTATCTCCCAATCAGTTTCTATTTGTTAGGTTGAATTTACTATAGCAATAAAAAGAAATTGTATTTTTTGTACTGGGACAACATTTATGGGAAGTCAACTGATAATTCAGTTGTCGAGTAATATTAGGTTTTATAATTACGTCCTTCTCTTTGAGTTTGAGTAAATTACAAAGGCAATAAAAAGAAGACGGAGAGAAAATCGTACTTCAGAAAAAGATTTTAGATTATTCTTTATTTCCAGCAACTATTTGTACTCACTGTGCGTTTTGCATAGTGTCGATCAAATCTGAATAAATTATTGTTAAAAACAAATTCAGAGTGCAGCTCTTTTCTGTGAGGCCAGTTCTTCCTGTTTCCGTTCAGAAAGTCAGAAATCTTGGCTCACTCCCGGTTCCGACCCGGCATCGGAGCCGCCGGCAGCCCCTTGGGATGGTGCCCAGCCCCACTGACCCCACGGCAGTGGTGCCTGGGTGTAAATCCATTGGGAAAATCAGGGTTAATGCCCCTTTTCGTGGATGCTTTGAATGGAGCCAGAGAAAACGGGGCTGGTTTAGGTACATTGCTAATAAAACTGCAACCAAGTTAATTTCTGTGGGTGTGTGTCATCCACAATGCTAGAACTGCCCAGAGAAAATTAAACAGTCTTGGTAAGTAAACAGGGGTGTTAAGGCATTTTTTTGTATGTTCTGTAAATTCTGGGGGCTAAATTAAACAAACTGCTGACAAATCCCCCCTCACCCAGCACCAGCCACTGAAACCTGCAGTGGCTTCAGCGAGAAGCCTAATGCAAAAAAAAAAAACAACAACCTAACAAAAAAAACCTAGCAAAGGAAATAAGGTTTATTAAAAACTCAGCAGTAAAATTTGGGCTTCCCTAAGGTCACTTGGAAGAAGTCCCTGGTGCCAAAGAGCAGAACTCACAGTGTTAAGCGGCGCTGATGTGTCTGGCAGAATTAACACCTCACATTTTCAAGAGCAAGGGTGTATTTTCCTTTTCTGATTAGCTCCTTACAATTCAGCAGGCAAGGTTAAAGAGAGCAAGAGCAATACATTTATAACAGGTTTGCTTTGTCCTCGTAATAGTCCTGGCATGGTTTCAGCACTGGATGCAGAACTCTGTGGTTGCTGAAGTGAGAAAAGCTTCTGGGTTATGACCTGATGTTAAATTTTGACTTGTGCTCCAACCTCTTCTGTTTGGCTTTCTCGATTAAGCAAGATTCTGCCATGAAAACAGACATTGTGAGAATTCAGTAGATTTTTCTAATTTGGGTTAAAAAGCAGACAGATTAGTTGCAATTGACTTTTTTCCCTATTGTTTTCTAAATTGTTCTTAAATCGAATTGAGAACCTGGAAATAGAATTCCCCCTACAGTAAGATATTTCTCCTTTTATGAAAGCATTTTATGAATGCTCTCTAATGCCCGAGCCAGACGCAGGGGGGCAAAATGCATCCCCAGAGCTGGGTGATTAACGCTGCAGTTTGCCCAAATGCTCCACTATTGACATTTTTGGTTGTCCCAGGGATGCACGGAGGCTGCGCAGAGCCAAGGCTCCACTTCGGTTTATGAGGAAGAATAATGTATGCATCAGCCTGTCTTGTTCGTCTTTGAGTGCTCTTTTGTAGCTGTTAATTCACTGTTTTTCACCATCCACGTGTTTTTCACTATTCATTAGGCTGTATTTTGCACTTTTTCCCTGACTGGCATCTCCACTCTTTTGTCCAGCTGCAGGCTGCGGAGAACGAGAAGGTGAGGTGGGAATTGGAGAAGACCCAGCTCCAGCAGAACATTGAGGAGAATAAGGAGAGGATGATGAAATTAGAGAGTTATTGGATTGAGGCGCAGACCCTGTGTCACACGGTGAATGAGCACCTCAAGGAGACGCAAAGCCAGTATCAGGCTCTGGAGAAGAAATATAACAAGGCAAAGAAATTAATCAAGGATTTTCAGCAAAAGTAAGCAGCTGCACCAGGCACAACAAATGACTTAGTGGCCAGATAGGAAACATGTATGTCATACGTTTTGCAATATGAAATCCACTATTAAACACCTGTAAGGTAAACACTATTCTTCACTTTTTTCTTTTTTTTTTTGGTGAAAAACGCAGGCTCTTTATCGTGGATAAATGTTAGTAATATTCAAGTATTAGTTTAGTAGTGTTGAAAAATAATACTCTAACTAAATAAAGACTTAGCCTGTGGTATTCCAGGTGAGAGTGTTTCAGAATTACCGGATAACTCAGTGTGATTGTGAACAACCAAGAGTATTCATAGCAAAGCATTCGAATAGCTGGGTTTGCAGTGATTTATGTTGGTGTTGTGTCAGCTGGATTCACTCCTGCTGCATACTAATGTAACATCAAACCCCAAAGCGTTTTGTTCCATTTCACATGTTATTTTTTCTCTTGTTGTAGATGCCCAGAGTGTTTGAGCTGAGTTGAGCTCACTGCTGATTACCCGGCCCCTCTCTTTCATGCGGTCCCCTCTCCCTGATGGCTAGCAAGAATAATAACACCTTACATTTCCAGAACAGCTTCCAGTGTTTTTTTTTTTTTCTTTTTCTTTTGCAGCAACAGCTTTTTCATTTTCTGCTGAAATATACTCTTTTAAAGAAAAGATCTCAAAAAGCAATGTCAAGTAACAACTGGGAGTGCAGAAGTGAATATCCAGTCCCATTAAAAAGGGGTTTAGAGAGTCAAAATGTCATTATTACCCATCTGGGAATTTTGTGGCAGTTCCAGAACCCAGCTGGCACCGTGGGTGCTTGCTGTCACTAACGCCTTCGATTTGCAAAATAAAAAAAACAGGGAAGATAACTAGAAGGAGCTTGGAGAGCCTTTCTGTTGTTATTCTGATTTATGGTTGTAAAACATCTAGCCAGTTGTTTTAAACTATATCTCAGACTCCTAACATCACCCGAGACGGATTTCCTTAGAGCTCAGTAGAAAATTCAGTTTGTACCTGGAAACTCCTCTCACTGAAGGAGTGTAGTCACGCTCTGATGAAACAGAGATTTTGCTCCATTTCTTACAAGAGATCACAGTGTAAAGTAAGCTAACATTGCTTTCCTTGGAAATACAGACTATGAAAAAATAAGTTCGATTTAACTGTTTGGATCATCAGTTAGAACAACTGAGATTATTTATTTTTCAGATAAATTTCTCGTGCCATTTTTATATCCTCACCTAGCATATTCGCTCACACAGATTTCTTGTACCGTTTTTATATCCTCACCTAGCATATTCGCTCAGACTACGAAATCGTTTGGGGTTTTGTCCTAATTGCAGTTTCATACTTCTTACTAGATTAGTAAAAAAATATCTGTTAAGGCCAGATTTTTCTGATGTGTAGCTCAGGATAGATCAAAACACTTTATTTTCTGTCGGAATCTAATTGCTTTGATGACAGCAAATGCATCTTTTTTTTTCCCTAAGAGAACTTGACTTCATCAAACGCCAGGAAGCTGAACGGAAGAAAATAGAAGATTTGGAGAAGGCACACCTTGTAGAGGTTCAAGGCTTACAGGCTCGTGTGAGTAGTATTTACTCTCCTATTTGAAGAATGAGACAAACCTATCTGATATTTTGGGAAAACCCCATGTGTTATAGATGAGTGTGTGTGTTATGTGTAACACTGTGGGCCGTTTCTTTCAGATACGAGACTTGGAAGCAGAAGTTTTCAGGCTAATGAAGCAAAATGGGAGCCAGGTTAACAATAACAACAACATTTTTGAGCGGCAAACATCTTTTGGAGAAGTTTCTAGAGGAGATCCCGTGGAAAACCTAGATACTAAGCAAGTGTCCTGCCTAGATGGCTTAAGTCAAGGTTGGTTTGAACGGAACCGTCCCTCCGATTAATAATTTATGCGAATGACAGGGTTATCATTTAGGATTTAAAGGAAGCAGTAATTCAGAGATGTTGTTATTTTTCCCAAATTCAGTATCTAATGACAACCGTGTCAGGGTTGTACCAAATAATGCCAATGCAGAGTCCCAGAACTGCTGTGCCTTGTGTACGGAAGAAGTGGAAGTGAGTAGCAAAGATCATTACTGATTTCTTGAAGCTTTCCGTGGGATGCTGTCAACATTTAGGTTACATTCGAAGCTTCTGGTAATGTTAATAAAGTGGGAGAAAAATGTGTTTTCTCCTATGTTCCTCCTACTTACCCAACCACCGAAGATCAAACAAAAGCAAAGTTACCAGAGTGAGAAAACCAATGAGAAAAACCAACTCTACCTTTTTGAATGGATTTCTGTGGGTTCTCATCCCCCCTCGGTACAGACACGAAACGGAGCCACGTAGGTGGCACCCACCGTTTCTCTGGATGGAGCCTTTTGTGAATAAAATGCAAATTCTTTATTAGCAAATGAATTAAACATCTTATTCAGCTAAGGTACAGCCTGATTTACAACATAAGGCTTGTTCTGCACTACCAAGGAGCCAAATGCTCTCAGCGTGGTGACTGTCACTTTTACTTTTTTGCGTGGAAAAGATAATTCCCATTTTTCAGGCTGTGCCAGTGAAAATATAAGTGGCTCCTCACTGTTGAAGTATATGCAGAATTCAATCCAATTTTAGGTCTACTGCCTTGGAACAGATTTTTTTTTGTGCAGGAGCAATATTTCCTGTGTATTTTGTAACACCTGTGAAGTCAGGTGTCGGAGGTGGTGAGATTCTGACAAGGGACCACTAGACTCTGCTCTATATAGATTTTCATTTTAAATAAACTATAGTATTATGATTTTCTCTGGTTAAAAAAAGGCATTACACTTACAAATAAATTAAATTCTGATTGTCTAGCAAGCACAGAGTGTTTTATTAAAAGTTATATTTTAGCAGTCATTTCATTCATGTGTGCACCCAAATTGAATATTGCTCTACGAACAAATCAATGTGAATTACATTTTTAGCAAAGTATATGTATAAAAGAATGTATGTATAAAAAAGTGTATAAAAGAGCTAGTCCTGCTGAAATGATATTTGGGTGATATGCAGAGCTTGTGGAATTGGATTCCACAAACTTTCACCGAGCTATTTCTTTCTATGAACAAATCAATGTGAATTACGTTTTTAGCAAAGTATATGTATAAAAAAGAGCTAGTCCTGCTGAAATGATATTTGGGTGATATGCAGAGCTTGTGGAATTGGATTCCACAAACTTTCACCGAGCTATTTCTTTCTATGAACAAATCAATGTGAATTACGTTTTTAGCAAAGTATATGTATAAAAGAATGTATGTATAAAAAAAGTGAAAAAAGAGCTAGTCCTGCTGAAATGATATTTGGGTGACCTGCAGAGCTTGTGGAATTGGTTTCCACAAACTTTCACTGAGCTATTTCTTTCTACTCCTCCTCAAGTGGCTTAAAAGGGCAGAACTGGGGGTAAGTGAATTGGTCCCTGGGTCTAAATTGGTATATTCAGCTGGGTGCTGGGAAGTGTCTGTCAAAGAGCAGCGAGATGAGGATTCCTTTGCTTTATGCCCCGATGGAGAACTCTCTGCAGCCCAAGCCCGTCCTGAGGGAGCCCGAGTGGGGCTTCTGGGCTTGATTGTGGTCTGTCACCTAACACTGGGAATCATCTGTTCAATTTTTGAGTATTTATAGTAGATACTTTGCTGTGCGCTTACTGGATCTTTATAAATAATCGTGTTAATGGTTTATGCAAATAAGGTATTTTGGCACGTGTAGTTTAGCAGTTAAGCAGGGCCAAGACAGACATGCGCAGTGCACGTACTCGCCACCGCCGGTCCTGAAAGATTCTCCTGTGAAGCAGGTCCCCATCATGTCTCCGCACTGCAGACCTTGTGGAATTGGTTTCCACAAACCTTCACCGAGCTATTTCTTTCTACTCCTCCTCAAGTGGCTTAAAAGGGCAGAACTGGGGGTAAGTGAATTGGTCCCTGGGTCTAAATTGGTATATTCAGCTGGGTGCTGGGAAGTGTCTGTCAAAGAGCAGCGAGATGAGGATTCCTTTGCTTTATGCCCCGATGGAGAACTCTCTGCAGCCCAAGCCTGTCCTGAAGGAGCCCGAGTGGGGCTTCTGGGCTTGATTGTGGTCTGTCACCTAACACTGGGAATCGTCTTGTTCAATTTTTGAGTATTTATAGTAGATACTTTGCTGTGCGCTTACTGGATCTTTATAAATAATCGTGTTAATGGTTTATGTAAATAAGGTATTTTGGCATGTGTAGTTTAACAGTTAAATGGGGTCAAGACAGACATGCGCAGTGCACGTACTCGCCATCGCAGGTCCTGAAAGATCCTTCTGTGAAGCAGGTCCCCATCATGTCTCCGCACAGATCTCAACGAAGCAGTGCCGGAAACGGAGAGGCTGGACTCCAAAGCACTGAAGACTCGAGCTCAGCTTTCGGTGAAGAACAAGCGGCAGAGACCTTCCAGAACACGGCTCTACGACAGCATCAGCTCCACGGACGGGGAGGACAAATAAGGTATTTTGGCACGTGTAGTTTAGCAGTTAAGCAGGGCCAAGACAGACATGCGCAGTGCACGTACTCGCTAAATAAGGTATTTTGGCATGTGTAGTTTAACAGTTAAATGGGGTCAAGACAGACATGCGCAGTGCACGTACTCGCCATCGCAGGTCCTGAAAGATCCTTCTGTGAAGCAGGTCCCCATCATGTCTCCGCACAGATCTCAACGAAGCAGTGCCGGAAACGGAGAGGCTGGACTCCAAAGCGCTGAAGACTCGAGCTCAGCTTTCGGTGAAGAACAAGCGGCAGAGACCTTCCAGAACACGGCTCTACGACAGCATCAGCTCCACGGACGGGGAGGACAGCCTGGAGAGAAAGGTGAGGAGGACTCTGCCCTCTCTTTCAGGCTTCCCGTGGAGTGCTGGGTTGTCCCTGTGAAGTCCTTTCATCCTGTCTTTGTCCTTTCGTGGTGTCACGGGCAGTATTTGTTCCTCTGTGCTGTGAGTGTTGCTGAGCGATGTGTGAGTCCGGTCTCCTCGGTATCAGCACACCTGGGTTTTTGGTTTTGTTGTGTTTTTTTTAAAACAGGAATCCCAGGCTTTCTGATTTATGTCTCCTTTATAACTCAGAGTGGGTCCTTTCATTGATGCAGGAGGTGAAAGGAGCTTGAACTGTGCATTTCTCTATCTGTTAATTTGTTAACGCAATCGATGCAATATTCACTCCTTGGTTTGTCCTATTCTGACTTCCCTCTGAAAGCAAATACCAATAAACAACCTTCTGTGTGGTATCAAAAGGTAACGGCACAAATTGCTAAAGTGTTTCGTACAAGTAGAAGGCTAAATAACGAATAAAAGAGTTGCATGTTCAAAATAAACCTTGCTGTGGTTGGTTCCCGAGTGGTATAACCTGCTTTATAATCTCTTGTGCCAACAGCCATCAAACAGTCACAGTAGCCCCATGCACATTCCCAAGTCACCACTGCCCTCATGCATGAGAGCATCCTCTCCAGCATCAGATTCTGGTGCTTCCTCCCTCTCCCCCGCGGCCAGCAGTGCAGCCATCTCCCTCGACAACCTCACCCCAAACCACCAGGAAGAACCACACCACGGAGGAGGTGTCCTGTCCCCCCATCCCCGGGGGGACACCCCGCTTTCCTCTCCTTCAAAGTCTGGCAACAGCTCCGAAGCATCTCCTTTGCATCACCCCGCGGGCAGGAATATATTACAGGATAAAGGTATTACGTTTTTTACAATAAATCGATGCGTCGTTTTGCCTACTTACGCCTTCTTCATGAACTGCTGTTGTGTAGTAGGACCTCAGCAACTAGAAGCTATCAGCTCGTAACTTCTTTTGTCTGCCTGGCAGCAAAAAAACTACTTGTATGATGCTATAAGAAAAGGATAAAGCTGAAGATGAGATCAGGAACCGCTTCCTTTCTTTTTCTTTTTTTCTTTCTTAGAACTCACTGCAAATGCTAGGGGGATGTTGCCTTTAAGAAAAATCTTGTGGTTTGTTTTTAAAAAAAAAACCCACAAAATTATTGGACCTTGGGGCATTTCTGTATTAGAAACGTGCTTAACACAGTGTACTTACTCAGATTCTGTGGTTTTGGCACTGCTAGGTGCTTTTTTTGGAGGGCGGGGAAAGGAGTGTAAAGCAGGAATAACAGATTGTAGCTTTTAATTGCTGAGAGGCGGCTCAGTCTAGATGAAACAAGAGGTTGGTGTCTGGAGGCTCTTCATTTACAGGAAAAAAAATGCCAAGTACTTTGCTGGGGAGGTCGATCATGTTGTTATATATATATATATATTACATGTATATGCACCTTGCATTCTCTTAACTATCACAGAATATTAAAAAAAAGGGGTAAAAACTGTTCATAAGCGAGGGCTGCGGGAATAGGTCTGGATAGGTTCATAACGGATTTTGGCTTACCTAAATTAACTGAACAGAACCATTTGTTGAGGGGTTTCGTTTGTGTGTCTGAAAAGACTTGCCCCTGATTTTTTTAGTTCATACGGGGCTTTCACTTGGATTCCTAAAAGACAGGTTAATGGAGTTTAGTTGAATTTAGGATAGGTTAATATGCGCTAGCATTTTTACCTGGGTTCTGAAATCACTAGTCCAGCTTTATAGTTTCTAATTGTGTAATTGTTAATAAATCAGTTACATTCAATATTTGAATTTTTCAAGTAAAAATAAGGGTGTGAGCCTAAGAATGTGACTTTCCAAACTCGTACTTCAGCTTCAGTGCATGACTGGTTTGTCAGTGAAGCTGTAAATCCTGCATTTCCAGCTGATGAGTGAAAAATATCCTGATAAAAGTTCAGTGGAGAGGAGCCGAGTGTTATATTCACCCGCTGTGTCTCTGTGTAAAGATTGGTGTCGTGCCCTGTGACTGTTTGGTGAAGAACCAGTGCTTTTGGGCGTATCCACATTCTGATGAGTATGTGAAAATTAAGTTAAATTAAACTAAATTAAACCAGAGCAATTTAGTTCCAAATGGAAACATTGCATTTAATGTCTTACAAAAAAGAAATACCCTAAAGCAGTTGTATGGCAACAACTGCTATTTTAATGGCTTACTAATTTGGCTGTCAAACTCTTAATATTTCAGAAAAAAAGTAGGGCCCCTGTATTTGTGCTATGTGTTCAGGTGGAGGTTTTTTAGAGAGGGAACGAAAGCACGTCTGTGGACATGTGTGCCAATTGATTAATCTCTCGTTAGCAACAGTCAGCATTAGCAAACCCACACTTGTCTGGTTTTTCTGATGGGATCCTGCCACTTTGTGGGAAGAGCTGAAGCGGCACTGGAGCAATTTCCTTGGAAAATGATGAGGAATTTTGCTCCTTCCTCTTTTAGGCACAACTTTTTCATGTCTGATGTGTACAATTAATTTAATTTCTTCGGTTCCGCCTGGTTTGTGCCACTCAGTTTGTGCCGCTGCAGTGTGTGAAAATAAAAATGACAACTTTTATTCTTGAAGGTGGCCACGTTGGCAGTGGTTAAATGAGGAGTATGCATCAAAGGTGAGAGAGGAACCCTAGGAGGAGACAGGAGGGGAGCGCGCGTGGTGTAGGGCTGATGCAAAGTGGGCATCACCTGAAGCTCTCCTCAGCCTCCCTGGGGATGGGTTTCTTCTCAGGAGACTTTGCCTTGCTTTTGCCATTCCCCGTATTATTATATTTTTTTGTTTGCTGTTTTGGCATGAGGTTACTCATCAGTTGTTCTTGAACGTTTTCTTTAACATCAGGACTCGTGCTGGTCAAAATAGTGTGGCTTTTAGAGCGTGGGTATTGCAAGAAGCTTGTTTTTCTGCTTTTCCCAGGATTTATGAACCAGTCGTGCAATGAATTTTTTACTGGAATGAAAACTTGGCCAAATATTATCCACAAAGCAGCGTACAAAGTTCTGTATAAGTAGTTGAGTGTCTTGTGATAGGGCTGTGTGTTTTGGGTTAATTCTGAGGGCTTAATTTATGTCAGCTACAGTAGAAACCCACCGCTGTGCCTCCATCTGAGGGCACGTTGTGAAAGTCACCAAACTGCACGTGCTGTGAATGACTGACCTTCATTTGCTTCCTCTGGAGTATTTGGGGACACTCTTTAGGAATCACAGGAAGTGGGTCTGGATTTTTCAGTTGCTGTGTGGTTTCCTTTAGCTCCCCTATAGATCCCTGGGATGTTTTGCAGACGCAGATTCATTGGTTTGGCTTTGTGGGTGCTGCAGGTGCTTTCCTTCTCAGTCTTTAATGGTGTTTGTAGCAGAGATCAAGAATCGGTAGACGTCTCAGGGCAAATTTATTAGTTAAGCTATTTTCAATTATCTTTTTTTTTTTTTTTTCCTAATTCAGAATGATTGGATTTCAAGTTGAATGTTTATTTTAAGAAAGATGTTCAGGCCAAACAGATGACTGTTACTTAGCATGTCCATCATAAAAGGTACCTTTGGCTCCAGAGTTCAAGAAAATATTTCAGGAGTCATTTTGGAAGTAAAGCGTATATAGCAAATGAGGTCTGTAAAGGGGAACTTAAGCAGCTACTGCTGATTTAGAAATGGATTCACTGTAATGTTTACGATCTTTGGTGTTGTTCAACTCACTCTATATTCATTAAAACTTAACCAAAATTAACTTTTCTTCAGTTAAAGTAAGATTTTTTCATTTGTATTTTCAAATGTGAAAGTATCTCATTATTTTTACTCCTCTTTGCACCATCTTCTTAAAAAAGAGAATTCACCTAATTAAGTTGTGTACTCACCCATGCGTATGTGTGTGTGTATCTGATCTGAACAGATACACAGACTGTTCTGGATGGGACGTGGAACAGCAATCAGTAGCAATTAAAAATAATAATGTACATTCTCCCGTGTACACATGTATCCTAGATGGTGCCACAAGTGCTCAGGCAGCAAGAACAACCAGCCCTCCTGTAGGGCATACGGAAAAACTAAAGCGAAAACTCGCAAATCTTGGGTAAGCATTTGTTTAAAGTACTTATTTATTTACTTTTACAAAGCCAAATTTCAGAGCTATTTCCTGATGTTCTCTAATGTTCTTGTAGGGCTCCCTTGCGAAGGAGTTCAAACAAGGGCAAGAAGCGGAAAGAGAAGGACTCTGCTCGGGTGACCTCTGGCAGTAGGTACGGCATTGGGGGTGCGAGGGGTGATACCCCACAAACATGGGAAAAGCCTCCTCAGCTGGGCAGATGGGAACGGTCACGGTCCCACTGACTTCACAGGAATAGTGTTAGGCTTTGAGACAACCTTCTGAGCTTACAAACCCAGATTTCTTAACTAATGAAAGACTGACATATCATCTAAAAATACTTGGATGCTTATCATATGGTGGCATCACCACTACTGTTGCATCCACTAATGGGAGGGCTGGCCTACAAGGTGCACACACAGGCAGTTAGTGACACCCTGAACCAGAAAACTTGACACAATTCCACATACGTGAAGTCCCCAAAGGGAGGATGGGTGGCAGCCCCATGGCACCCACATCGGGAGAGTTTCCCTCAGAAGTGGTGTGAGGGTGTTGTCTCTACAGCCCAAAGCTGTATAAGCTCCGTGAAAGAAAGGAGGTGATGATCAAAAGGCAGCATCCCGTTACGGTTACGTTCATTACAGCGACTGATTGATGTGGAATTAATCACGCTGTCAGATGGATATTACATGCATTGTTTTGCCATTGCCAAAAAACAGCACTGGGGATGTGTAAATAGAATCCTGAATTGTTTCCTAAGACTGCCACTAATGTTACATATATAAAAAACTCCCCATTTAAGTAAGTAGCACATATTCCCCTGTCTGGAGCCAGGTGATTCGGGCAACATCATCTGTTTTTTCTTTCTACTTTTCGAGCAATTCCTTTTATGAGGGAATATAGTGATAGGAGCAGGGGTAGTGGTTTTAAACTGAAAGAGGGGAGATGGAGATGAGATGTGGGGAAGAACTTCTTTGCTGTGAGGGTGGTGAGAGCCTGGCCCAGGTTGCCCAGAGAAGCTGTGGCTGCCCCATCCCTGGAGGGGTTCAAGGGCAGGTTGGAGGGGGCTTGGAGCAACCTGGTGTGGTGGGAGGTGTCCCTGCCCAGGGCAGGGGGATGGAGCTCAATGATCTTGAAGGTCCTTTCCAACCCAAATCATTCCTTGATTCTGTGATTCTATGAGGGAGGAGTACAGGACAGGGTCAGATACATCAACCTCTCTTTACGTAGCTAGAGGGAGGAAGGATTCTTCTGCTTCCCCGGGTGGGGGTCCTTTGACAACCTCAGTTTCACCCACACAGAAGGGAGGCATCACAATATACAAAGCTCTCGTGATTGTTACTAATGGTTTAGAAGCTGTCCAGAAGGTAGAAGTTGAGGGGAGATTTCCATACCTGCAATTTACTGGTGTTTAATGCTCTGAAACAGTTATATATACTTTGATATAAATAATATGAGACTATGACATATGCATCAGTTTTTTGAGGCAGACACTTTGCATGGGTATTTTTAATTTACATACTGTACTCTTGACATGATACAGTTAGCAAATAATTTAGGCATTTTGTTTTATAACTGTTATCTTTGCCTTGATCACTTTATCCACTGCCATCTCTGTGACTACAAAGGGAGAAGCTGACAATATCACAGAGGTCTTTCTTTCAGTTTCCTGTATTAATATTCTTAATATTTAATAACTTTAATATCAAGACAATGGTGCTCTGTGAGTGTTCAGCTGTTGTAAGAAAGGCACATCTCCATAGGTGGGTACGGCTGCACCTGATTCATCCTGCCTGTGCTGGAAATCCAAGGCAGACCCTCCCTGGGAGGCAGAGCTGGTGTGGGTCGGTGCTGTCTTATCTCTGGCGAGATGCTGAGATGCTGCCAGGGCTGAGGAACACCCTGACATGGTGTGGGGCTGCTTGGCTGGGGCTGGTTCCCCCCGAGCAGCGGGAGAACAGGCGTTTTTGGCTGGTGCCTGTCTCCCTGTGCTGGGTGTGTGCTGTCTGAGAGAGCTGGAGGCAGGAAAAGAAGAATCAAAAGAACTCACTATTTTTCTTCTGTAGCTGAAAAAGAGATTTCAGGCATGTCCCTGCCAGCTGGGTGCCGCTCGCTTCTTTAGTCACAGTTAGGGGGAATGTCACTCTTTTTTACAGTTAACGGCCTCTGCAGTGTTTTGCTTTCTCTTGTTTTGTAACCTAACGGGTGTTCCTGCTCCTTTCTGTTGAACAGGACCGTCAGAGAGATGCTGCAGAGATCAGCAACCAGCAAATGGTTAGCCACAGAGCGAGCCTCCTCCCTCCCACACTGCGTGCCCTTGGCGTGGCACGGAGAGAGTGGCAAGGGGTCCACCTCCTCCAGCAACCTGCCGTCGCCCACCAGCTCAACCGAGCCCTCCTCCGAAAATATAAGCCCAGCTAAAAAAGGGTCAAAGGTAGAAAATCAAAACTACCTTCTTCCCGCTGTGTGGAGCGGCACAATTGGCTTCGTGTCTCTGGGAGAAGAACAGGCCAATCTGTGACCCCTACAATAAACAGCGCATGGTGTTCATTGTACCTCCCAGCAGAGCATCCCTGTCCTCGGACCCTCCTGCCCTCTGCCTCTTTACTCTCTCTTGCCGTCCATCATTAACTGGGGGAACTAACCGTGGTGTGCTGTACCGTGACACAAACCAGTGGTGCCAGTGGGAGTTAGCATTTGGAGCCAGTGAGCCAATGCTAGAGGGGTGTATTCGCTTAGAGAGAGTTTCTGCATTCTTCAGGACTGATTGTGGGGAGACCCGGCCCCTGCTGTGTTTGCCAGTGAAGAAATGCTGAATGCCTTCAGTCGTCTGCCTTTTTTCCCCCCCCTGTAATGAAATCTGTTTGTCATGCATGCTGGATGGTGGATTTAATTCTCTGTATGAAGATGCTTGAACTGTAAATATGAACTATTGCGATTCAACACGTCTGTGTGATTCCTTTCTATGTGCATGAGTGTTTCAGCATGATAACTCCTTAAATAACCCTTTAATTATAGTGATATACTTTGCTTTTTCGTGTTTATTTTCACTTCTGGAAAAATGTTTCTCTGCCTGTATCTCCTTATAACTTGCAGCAGTTGATTTTTTTTTTATATGGGTCTGGTAAAAGAAGCAGGAGCAGTTATCAGCTTTATCTCCGGGAATATGGAGCAGAACTCGGATTTCTTTGTCTTCTCCAAACACATGTGTGTACACAACAGGCATTGCTTACTCTTTCAGTGCCAAAAGCTGGTGATTCCCTACTCCTGCTGTGCCCCAGGCTGTGTTACCTTGTGGGGGGAGAGCCCCACAGGGCCAGCCAGCCCGAATTAGACCCACAGAGGAGACCCCTAAAGAGAAATTAATTGGTTACCTCATTTCTTTTGAAAAAGAAAGGTCAGGATTAGATGTCTGAGTCCTGTTTGTCCCTTTAAACAAACATGGTATAAAAATAATTTTGCAGTGGGGAAAAAAGCACCCCCCTTTATTGCTGTTGGGCTGGAGGGGGTGTCCTGCTGCCATCGTTATCAGCAGGCTTGGCTACCTTGTGTTTTTCCTACAGAAAATTAAATTTTAAAGACTTAAATTCATCGTAAGGCTGAAGCTTGCATAAAATGGAGGTGAAAGCAAAATCAGAGTACTTAAAAAGATGTTCTTCGCACACCAGGAGGTAGAGCTGTTGAACTCCTGGCCTTGGAACCCTGTGGGGGCTAAAAGTTTGCTGCTCGGATTTTCTTCTCCCCTAAAAAGAGCTGGGAAAAGCAGAACAGGAATTCTAAATGTAGGTGTGAGAAAACTGATCACAAAAACGCTTTGATGTTCTCTGTAAAGTTTGCAGACTCTCAAATTAGCCATTCCTGTGCTGCTGCTCGAGTGCGGGACCAATATTTAGGTGCAAAACTAAAAGGACCAACACTTGATATTTTTGGAAGGCTTCTCGTTTTCAGGAAAGACAGGTCAAATATCTTTGGGGCGGGGGGAGGATAAAAAGATAACTTTTTTTAGTGTTGTTTTTGGTTTTGATGTTTGGATCCAGTTTTTGAAGTTGAATGTCAAAGATTAATTGAATTTGATATTCACTTAGAGAGATTGGAGGTCTCCATATCGTCAGCTATATGTTCAATTTAAATGGAATATCACAGCGGTTTTAATTATTATTTTTTTTAGATTTTGTTTTTTGTGACATACTTGTTAATTTTTGTCTTCTTCTGGTGGTGATTTTGCTTTATTCCTGCAAAATATGTGCACACTTTTTCTCTTCTTTGCTGGAAGGTGTGATGTCCGTCACTGCATTGTTGAGAAAAAACGGTGTTTGTTTTATGGTTATTATTTCAGTAAATAACATTCAATATCCAAAATCTCTTTTACTTTCAATTTCATTTTTTTCTAAAGGTGTAGTCAAAGAGGGAAGACCTTTTCACTTTTCTAGGAGATTATTTGGGACTCAGAAGTGGACTCACAGGATGGTCTTCTTGCTCTTCCCATAGCAGCTCTCCCCTCTCTCTGCTAATTAACCCTCTGTCCAGTTCTCTGTGCTGCTGCCTGGGCTAAGCTTGTCCTGAATATGTGGAGGACACTAAAATACTAGTGATTAACCCCGTAGAAGCAGTAATTTAGCTCCAGCATAAGAGCCTGAATCTTAAGAGGGAGCCTGGAAATTGCTTTCAGACCCCCTTGCTATTCATCGAGGCATTACGATGGCAAAGGTGTCTTTTGAAGTACGCAGTGGTGAAAATCCTGTGTATTCTATAAATATTAACAATACTAAAAGTTAAGCTTTCTCCTGTGTGTTGTCCCTGCTTTGGTGGATGATTGAAATCACTCCTGAACTATGCCAGCCTGGAAGCCAGAAAGCAAATTTCCCTTTTAGGGGCACAAATGAGATCATTTGCTCATTCTAACTCATTTTTTTCTCCACAGAATTTCACGTTCAATGACGATTTCAGCCCCAGCAGCACAAGTTCCGCGGATTTGAGTGGTTTAGGAGCAGAACCTAAAGCCCCAGGTTTCTCGCACTCTTTGGTGCTGTCGTCAGACGAGGTAAGCTGATGAAATTGGTTAAGGTGGGAAATTATTGTTTTCTTTCTCCGGTGGCATTTTGCTTGATAGTTATATAATTATCAAATAATAAAGTGGTATTTTTCAGGCAGTAGAATGGGAGAAGAAAATGAACCTTGGTTTCTAGATTATGATTTTTCTGGTTCATATGATGACTTGAAATAAAGGTCCTATGGTATTACGGTAGGAAAGCAGAATGCTGTTCGTTTCCTAAGAGATGCTGTATCCTCACAGTTCTGAACAGATCTTTCCTGCATTCTAAATATGTGTGTGTGGATCCATAGAGAGATATATATATACACATACACTAAACTAGACGTAATTGAGGCAATTTTGAGACAATACTCAGTATAGTTTGGTAAACATAGTTGCAACGCAAGGCACCTTCACCTGGATTAAGTTTTATTTTGCTACATTTCAATAATAATGACCTGTACATGCAGTAGTGGTGTGTTGCTGTACCTGGCTGGATGTACATCGATCAGATGTCCATGTGTCAATCCACTGGCAGTCTTTGTGCTCGCTTTGCACGGTGGATTTGAATTCAGTTGCTTCAAACCAGAGCTTTTTCAAGCAAAGATAATGGGAAAAAGCATTCCTAACGCCGTACATCGGTGACTTAATTGAGCTGAATACAATATATTGAAAATACTTTTCTTAAGGCCTGAGCTCTGTAGCTCAGTGAAGCTGCACAGTTTGACTCTGGAAACCTGTGCTTTCATTCTTTTACAAACACTCCTTAAGAACTTCACTTTTTTTCATGTGAAGTTTGAGCCAGAGTTTTTTTCTAGGGAGGAGGAACTTGAAGTATCTATGTCTTATGTTTTTAATGATGGTGAGGTTTGTTCTGTTGCTGCCTCGTGCTCTGCCAGGGTTTAAGGGAGAACTGTTCTGTGCAACCCCATTTGCCAAAATGCAAGTCTAAAAACACCAACTGTTCTTTAGAAGTTACTTACTGCAAAAAATTATAAGAATCACAGGAGAGTGCAGACAGGTCTGTGTATTCTGTGGATTACTAAAAATAACAGTGCTGTATCCTCACAGTTCTGAACAGATCTTTCCTGCATTCTAAATATGTATGTGTGGATCCATAGAGAGATAGATATATATATATATATATACTGTGTGTGGATCCATAGAGAGATATATATATACACATACACTAAACTAGACGTAATTGAGGCAATTTTGAGACAATACTCAGTATAGTTTGGTAAACATAGTTGCAACGCAAGGCACCTTCACCTGGATTAAGTTTTATTTTGCTACATTTCAATAATAATGACCTGTACATGCAGTAGTGGTGTGTTGCTGTACCTGGCTGGATGTACATCGATCAGATGTCCATGTGTCAATCCACTGGCAGTCTTTGTGCTCGCTTTGCACGGTGGATTTGAATTCAGTTGCTTCAAACCAGAGCTTTTTCAAGCAAAGATAATGGGAAAAAGCATTCCTAACGCCGTACATCGGTGACTTAATTGAGCTGAATACAATATATTGAAAATACTTTTCTTAAGGCCTGAGCTCTGTAGCTCAGTGAAGCTGCACAGTTTGACTCTGGAAACCTGTGCTTTCATTCTTTTACAAACACTCCTTAAGAACTTCACTTTTTTTCATGTGAAGTTTGAGCCAGAGTTTTTTTCTAGGGAGGAGGAACTTGAAGTATCTATGTCTTATGTTTTTAATGATGGTGAGGTTTGTTCTGTTGCTGCCTCGTGCTCTGCCAGGGTTTAAGGGAGAACTGTTCTGTGCAACCCCATTTGCCAAAATGCAAGTCTAAAAACACCAACTGTTCTTTAGAAGTTACTTACTGCAAAAAATTATAAGAATCACAGGAGAGTGCAGACAGGTCTGTGTATTCTGTGGATTACTAAAAATAACAGAGTCATCACTTACAATTTCTTTAGTATTAGTACTATCTTGGTAATACATTTCATTTTCTTACCGTGTTTCATTCCCCTTATATGATGCGTTTTATTGTGACAATGCCCTGTTCCCAGTGGTATTGGATTAGAAGCTGGGATTTTGGTTGTTCAGCTCTCTCTGTTATCACCAATAAAATACAAAGCCTGTTGAGGAGGAGCTCAGGAGAAGCCCCTGCAGCCCCTGGCCGGGGATGAGGCCAGTCCCACAGCCCATCGCTGCCAGCGCCCCTGGGCTCAGGCTCCTCTGCCAGATCCTCAGGATTATTGGAAGGAGGAGAAAAAAATGGAAATGTGGGGAGGGAACCCAGTTCTTGCAGGTTTTTTTCCTCTAATTAAGGAGTTTTTGCTCTTGCAATTGGAGCCATCAGGAAGGTTCCCCCTGGTTCTAGGGTGCCTGGACCAGGAGCTGCGAGGGGGTTTCTTTGGCACAGTCTCAGGTTTAGCTGCCAAACCATGTGTGTGCTGAGCTTCCAACATAACCTCTGCTTCTGGAAGTAATTTTTTTGTTTTAAAGAAATCTCTTTGGTTTTGAGTAGCCATATCTGTTTGCAAATCTTTGGTGCTGCCCTTGCCTGAACTTTTACATGCTGTTACATGTTCTGTATTTTGTTTCTATAATGCTTTTCTTTCCCATTTCTTTGTTGCTCCCTCACTCAGAGCCTGGATATGATTGATGATGAGGTGAGAAACTGGTGTGCTGTTGTGGTGAACCCTGTGACCATCGCGTGGCAACCTGTCCTCTCATTGGCAGATGCACATTCCTTGTTTTACCCTGTCGTGTGGCAAAAACCCCTCGTTCGAGCACAACGTGCAGATGTCACTGGCTCCTCTCCCCTTGTCTTCGCTTCCCCTCTCCTTCCTGCCCAGGGTTCTGGAGGCCGTAGCAAATTGCAGTTTTTATGGAATGCTGGAAGGGGGAGGAGGGTCCGTGGGGGAGCAAACCCACCCGGCCCAGCATCAGCTGCTCCCAGCTCCTGCTGGCGATAGGAGAAGGGAAGAATAGTGCTTAAACTGTCTTCTCCCCAGCCCCGAGAGCTGCCAGCACCATCTCACCCGGCGCAGAAGTCTCTCTGGCAGCGGGGCCGGGGGCAGCTGCTTTGCTGGCCACGGCTGGGACAGAGCAGCGTTTGTTTTGGGCCCCTGTTTTGGAGTGGCAGAGCAGGGACATGGGGCTGCCCCCGGCAGCTGACACCCCCACCTGCTCTTCCTGGTGCTGTTACTGTGCCTTCCTCCTCCTCCTCCTCAGCACAAGGTGACGGGAGCAGGGGCCAGGGCTGTGGGACCTCTGTGTGTTCCTCTGTGTCATCTCATGGTCCTCCATAGACAGTCTCAGTCTCACTGGCTGTTTGGTGTCATCCCTTTGAACTTTAGAGTGGTTTTCTGAGGCTCTTTTTGCCCTGAATTTCTTGTTTCATAGCTTAGGCACATCGTAAAGACCAGTGAATGAGCCCAGGAAGTGGAATGCAGAAATCACTGCATCCTTTAGAAACAAGTCTAATTGGAAGTATAGCTTAGGCACATCGTAAAGACCAGTAAATGAGCCCAGGATGCATCCTTTAGAAACAAGTCTAATTGGAAGGATGACAATCTCGCAAGGGAGCAGGAGCGTAGAATCACAGATACACACCTGTTTTGAATTGTGCCACCCGGCCATTTCACCCCGTTTGGGCTAAAAGGAATGCCACTTCCTTTTTCTTCTTCTGTTTATACATAGAAGACTTTCTGGGTATCAATTCTCAGATACCTGGTGATGTACAGGTGTAATACAGCAGTGTGAAATTGTTGCTATTGCAGTGTAAAGACAGTCCAGGTACCTCTGCTCTGATGCTGGCAGTTTGTACAGGGGAAAAAAAAAAAAAAGGTTGTAACTCGTCCGTGTTACCCTTTTAATAGCAGTGGTGTGCATTTTTGTGGCAGATCCTGGACGAGGGACAGTCCCCGAAGCACAGCCAGTGCCAGAGCCGCGCGGTGCCGGAGTGGAGCGTGCAGCAGGTTTCCCACTGGCTGATGAGCCTCAACCTGGAGCAGTACGTCTCCGAATTCAGCGCCCACAACATCAACGGGGAGCATCTCCTCCAGCTGGACGGCAGCAAGCTCAAGGTGAGGGGCTGCGGGACTGACCGCAGCCTTTATTGTCACTTCAGGGCATCTTAAGGGAGGTAAGAATTCGGCCAGAAAGCGGTGAATCCCTGTGTTGTGGGGTGGTGCTAGGCTGGAATAACAAACACTGCGTGTGTAAATCCTGTAGCAGCACGTGGAAGCGGTATTCCATGCGTGGATCCCTCATCAGCTCTCTTTGCAAAAGGGTGATTCAGAGAAAACAGTAAATAGAAATACATCAGAAGCAGCGACTGAAAAACGGATTTCTGGGCGGCTGGAGGCAGAAGCTGATGCCAATTGTACTGTGTCAGAACTAAACACGGTTTTGATGTATAAATTCTGCGCTGTTTCTTGTAGCGAAAACACGAGCCTGCTGTTGTCAGAAACAATTACAGGAGGGAGCTGTTGGAGGCTCAGTAGATCTGAAAGTCAAAGTTTAGTCTTTCCTTTCTGCATTTTTTTGCTGGCATTTCCCCAGCTCCAGGGGTTTTAGAGGGGAACAGGTGGACTTTTGGCTAAGGCTTAGCAGTGAGAATTGGAAAGTTTTGTTCTGTGTAGACCTAGATGACTTCAGGCAATAGTTAATTTATCTCATTTGATCAATGAAATCAGTGTTGGTGGTGGCAGTGAGATCTAACTCTTTAATATTCTAGAGATGGAAAGCATGGAAAGTAGTTCAGAATTGTACTATTTACACATCAATAACATATCTGAGTCTGTCTCAAGTTTGCTTAGTTCTTACAGTCTTCTACCTCAGAAGAGTTATTATCAGAATATGAAAAAAAAAATGTGATAAACTGTATGAAATGATTTTTCTTTTTTAATTCTGTTTCCTCCACCTCAGGCTCTTGGTATAACATCTTCCCAGGACAGAGCAATCATTAAAAAAAAGCTAAAGGAAATGAAAGCATCCCTGGAGAAGGCTCGCAAAGCTCAAGAGGAAAGTAGTACAGAATTGTACTATTTACACATCAATAACATATCTGAGTCTGTCTCAAGTTTGCTTATAGTTCTTACAGTCTTCTACCTCAGAAGAGTTATTATCAGAATATGAAAAAAAAAATGTGATAAACTGTATGAAATGATTTTTCTTTTTTAATTCTGTTTCCTCCACCTCAGGCTCTTGGTATAACATCTTCCCAGGACAGAGCAATCATTAAAAAAAAGCTAAAGGAAATGAAAGCATCCCTGGAGAAGGCTCGCAAAGCTCAAGAGAAAATGGAGAAGCAAAGGGAAAAGCTTCGGAAGAAGGAACAAGAGCAGCTGCAGAGGAAATCGAAGAAAGCAGAGAAGCCTTCATCAGATGTGACAGAGGGCACTAACGAGCAGTGACCAGCCGGAGCTGGGAAAAGCTGGGGAGGTGGGGGCAGGCCAAGGGGAGAGGAACTCGTACCCAGCCTGGTGCCCCTTCAGCTTTCCTGCCCTCATTACTGGGAGTGTGTGCAGAGGGCCGGGGCTGTGCGCAGGAGGACTATGGAAATCTCCAGGGTGTAGGTTTATTTTCCCTCATCTCCAGTCCACACTCGTCGTTGTTGCCCTGTGAAACCACCCCCAGCCCCTCGGTGCGTTCCCTTGTTGCTGAGAGCTGACAGATCTCCTCTCCGTGTGGCGGTGTTCTCCTTCCCAACTCCCCTTCTCTGTTGAGCGGCGTGCGTTGGGTCGCTGCAGGAACCAGCGTGATGCCGAGGAGCGGGGTCCTCTGCTCCCCCTCTCCCCAGCGGGGCGGCCCGTGGGAGCCACTTCACTTCCCAACTGGAAATTCAGCGTCTTTGTGGAGTTTGGGTACCCGGTTCCACCCGCTGGAGGACCTTTCATCTCCCCTCATCACCTCCCACCCACGCTGCTCCGGAAACACAACTGTTGGGTGACTTCTTATACACTGGAGATAAAGCCAGGAGAGTCGATACCCCCTGGGAGAAAGACAGTAGGTGACACTCTTTCTGTTGACTGTACAATAGTTAATCCAGGAAGGAGGCAAAGCCTTAAACGATTATGTGGGTTTACACAGAAATCTGAGGATAACATTTATCCTGTGGATATCTGAGCAAGGATGAATTTCTAACTAGAGCACAGCGCATAGATCTGTATAAATTTCATCGTGCTCCCAGTGTGTAGGCAACTTTCTTATAGCACACTCTGCTTCCGTTCTCATGTGTTTTCAACAGGAAACTGGGCTTAATTTGTTTTGAGGTTTTGTTTTCCCAAGAAAAACACCACGTCGTCAGACCCATTCTGCAGTAAGCATTGGGAGAATCAGTTTTGTGCTGTGCCGGTGTCGGAAACGATTGGCAAACTTGAGTTTGCTGAAGATTTTCAGTTTTTACAGAAGTGCACTTTAAGAAGAGGAAGAGGAGGGATTCTGGTTAATGTGAATTTGAGGACATTGCTGTTAAGATTAGTGCTGCCGTGGAGGTGAAGGTTGCTAAATCCAAAGCTGCCATATATTAACTGTTCTGATTGACCCGTTTAAAGAATATCCCTACCAAAAGGTGAAGTTTTGGGCATAGGCTGTAGAGTGTTTTGATGGCTTAGAAGTGGTGGTATCACGTCCTTCAGAGATCCCTGTTGTCCTGCTCTGTGAGGCCATCGGTGGAGCGTTGACTGTGCCAGTGTGTAGCTCACACGGCATGGTGTTACTGCCTCTTAAGGGCGGTATTAAAATAGTCAATATTTCTTCAAAAGAAGGGACAGACAACAGGCAAATACCCACAGGGAGGAGCTGGAGGCGTTCTCTTGCTGCTCTGTAGCCAAAGCTGGCCACACAGCAACCTTTATCCTTGAGACACGGCTTCCCTCCCGTGCCTCTGGGAAGTTGCCGTCGTCATCTCCCCATGCCAGCCCAGGAATTGGTTAGGGTGTTGATGCAAAGTTTGAGTCTTGAGCTTAAAAATTTTTCCAGTCTAAAAAAAAAAAAAAAAAAAAAATCCAAATATTGAATTCTTTCGAAGGAAATGTTTGTTCTGGTTTGGCTTGGCTTCTCTTCTGCTCCGTCCTTTATGACATTTGTATCTGTGTCTGTAAAGTTCTCTGATTTGAAGCAGTTGGGGAGAAATATTTATAGTTAAATTTCTTTTGATCCTAATAATTCCTTTGACATATAAAATGGTCTGTAAACGGAAAGAGGCTCGTTTGTTCAAAACTAATACACACCAGAGCTACTTAGTATTAGCGTTATTGTTCCTTCCAAATCCGATTTCTACAAGTTTCTGATGTACATATTATTCAGATCTAAAGATGAAATTGCTGTAAGAAGCTACTTCCTGCTATTTCTTGTGATACATTTCTTGAGACAGACCACTGGCAAAAAAAAATGCACCTGCTAACAAGAATTCCACATTGCAGTGAGTCTTTCTGCACTCTTTGTAGGAGAAAAATTACACAGATTTTTAACGGCGTCGTAAAGCTACTGCTCTGTTCCACCTGAGTCAGAGAGGTTATCCGAAAGAAACTGGAAATTTAATGTTTTAAATACGATGTTGATAAACGCATTCAATGGTGATTTTGTTTTTAAATTATGTTTACATTGTAGTAATGTTTAAGTGGTTGTATATAGTAATCTAAGGTGATGTCCCTGTTTTATGTTCTTTGTTTTCCTAGAAACCTGAGCAGGCGGTTTGCATTATACACTGAGTTTTCATTGTTGCTACTTAGAACAGTGCCTAGTTAAGCTCTCCACAAATCAGTCTTACTCTGCGGAATAGCTAATTCAACTTAAGTTCTTTAAGTATTCAGGGTTTTTTTATTGCTTTGTGGTAATGTTATTTTGTAATTCTCGGAGTAAAAAAAAAAACCCATAACAAAACCCACAACAAAAACCTAGCTGAAAAAAAAACAAACCAGTAGCTTAAATTGAAAACAGAAGCATAAAATGCATTTTGATCAGCACGTGAAAACTAAGCAAACCAAGCCATGTCAAGAGTTTTGCTCTTCTTTCTGTGATAAAAGAGATTTACGTGGTTCCTTTTCTTAAGTCGGGTGGCTCCTTTCTGGGAGTAAGAGGTGGAAGGACCGGTGGGGTTTGGGGTTTGAAGCTCCTGTCGCTGGTCCGTGGTACCTTCAGCGTTGTGTTGCGCATTTCCCCCTTGTATCGCGTGGTGACGTACATGAGATAGGGATGTCTCATCGTTCTGAACTTGAACTTCCCTTAGAGCAGTGCCAAGTCAGACTAAGGTGGGGGTTTGTTTAATAACAGGAGACAAATACTCCACGCTCAGTGACTGAAGGACTGTCTTTTCGGGCTCCCCTGCAGATGTAGCTGGCGCCTACTTTTGCCCATTTATTTGTGGAGCTAAAGCAATTCTAATGCATTGATGGATCCAGACACTGATAAACCTCTGTGCTGGTGTCCCCACGCCTCTGGCTCTGCGTCCCTGTCATCCTTACCCCTTGGTGGGGTTCACTTCCCCCTGCTCACCATGTTGGCCAGCTCTGTAAGCCCTCGTCCTGCTCGTTGCTGGGGTATTGCCAGGCTGTGGAGATACCGAGCCTCTTAGGTGAGGAGAGGAGAACTAGGAAAAGATGGAACTCTGAAAAATAGGAAATAAAAGATAGAGCACTCAAGTTACTTTATTCCTAGGAGTGCTGGTGTTTTTACTGAGGTTCTGGAGAGCGGGGTGGCTCCTTGCTCTGCCCAGATCAGGGATGTGACTCCCTTCCAGCCAGTATCTTCCCACCAGGGGTGCTGCTCCACACCACGTACATGCTAAAACTCCCCACTTCGGTTTCAGTCTGCCCGGGTGTATGGGGACCAAGAGATGGGGCAGGAGCCCAACCTGTTCCCTGCCATTCCCAGGGTATTCCCTGCTGCTGGCATTTCACCCACCACTCCGAGCAGCTCTGCTGGTCATCACGGCAAGTGGAGCCTGTCCTAGACCGAAGGTTGGAATCCCACAGCGGGACAAAAGCCAGTATTAAAAGATGAACAGAGTTAAGTGACGTTTGTATCTCAGTGTGTACAAATGCTTCTGCATTTTTTCCAGCTTGTTACATTTTTTTGCATAGGGATCTATTGTGCTACGACTGCTCAGCTGCAGGGATACCACAAACATTGAGCTTTTGCAAGAATCACTGCACAGCTTTCCTCTGACGCTTGCCAGGCTCTCATTGACAATGTCATTGACATTGACATTGGCTTGGCACTGGGCACGGGGGCTTCCTCGTCCTTCGTTGCTTTCCCTCAAAGCCTCCTCCACCTTCATCTCCCTCCTCACGTGCTGGTGAGCGAGGGGTGGGCAATGGTGTGTGCTTTGTGAGATATTGAATTGTGTCCTGCTGTCAAGTCGGAGAAAGAAATGCCACTCTTGTTACTGGTGCAGAATCCAGTTCCACAGTTGGATGGACGATGACCATCGTCTAGTTGTGTCTGGCCAAGAAGTACCATTCCAGGTGCCCTCACAGCACCGAAAATGGAAAGGAAAGATTCGCACGGGTTTAGCTGCAGTTGGTTACGGAATCCGTACTGCCCTCTGTTGCAGTTCTCAGGGCTGACATTTTGGGGAAGTTTGCAAGAATTAAGTCTTGTGTTGATTTCTTAGCCATGAGATTACTGAGAGAAAATGTTGTCGAAGTAAAAGCAAAACCTGATCTTGCTCTTTGTAGGTGTTGCCTGGTCCCCTGCGCTACCCTCAAAGTAAGCAATAGAGGGGCTGGGCCCTGTTAATGGCATTTCCCTTATTCTGTGCTCTCCCTCACTTGAAAACCTCAGGAAACCTGTGTCCTGGTCCAGAACACTGAAAAAAACAGACATTTGAAAAAAGCAGCGCATCGTTAGTGAAGTTGTAAGTCTTTAATAGTCAAAATGGGCAGAGTGCGCAGAGCAGTTTGATGGTTTGGGTTTAGTTTTGTTAAATCAGTGATTGAAAATAATGACATCGATTGGTCTTTTTGGCAATCCTGTGGCTTGATTCCCTCTTTGAATGGAGCTCGGGGGGGCAGAGCCCACCCCCTGTGTCTCCCCGGTGTGCTCGCCCCACTCTCCGCTGGCAGCTTTGCTCGCTCTTCTTTCTGGGGGTTTCACAGATTTTTGCAGATGAGAAGATTTTTAAAGTTGTGTTAAAACTGTAGACAGATCCCCTGCAGGTCCTCCTGCATGTCGTCCTCGGGTTGTTTTTTTAGGGTGGGAAGTTGGCAGGATTGGTCTCTTGGAGGTTTTTTAGTATTCAAGGAAGGAAACCTTTTCTTCCTCTTTTTAACCCTAACTTTGATTTCTGTTGGAGCGCTTTCAGCAGCTCCTTTTTGAGCAGGAGTGAGGGGCATCCGAGGTGGCTTTACCCACTCAGCGCAGCGTGGGTCATCTGCAGATGGCACAACCCCTTTTGTCATCCTCCCGGATGTACTTTTTCCCACTGTAAAACTGATTTTTCAGAGCTGTGACACCTCCGTCGTGACACTGAGCCCTCAGATCCCTCGTTATAAAAGGAGCTTTCTGCCAGCAGCTGGCAGCAGGAATGGTGGGACTTTCACTGTGGGTGTTGAGCCGTGGTTTGAAAGATGGGCGAATGGTAAGCACTGGGGGGTTTGGTGGTGGTGCCTGGAGCTGCCTGTTCCAAAGGGAAGGGGAATGCCAGGGCAGCAGAGGTAAGGAGGAAAGGCTCATTTGGGAGCCGGGAGAGCAGAGTGAACCTCTCCTGACTCTCTTTCCCACACACATTTACTGTCCCAACAACAGCTTTTGTATTTTCCCATCACACCGTGACGGTCACTCCCTGGTCACTGCCGGGCGATGGACACGTTGCTGGAAAACCAGGCAGCCAGAGGGCTAAAATGCACTGTGCTCACTGTAAAAACTGGCTTCTTACATTGTTTTTATATGGTTAAAGAGGTGGTTGCGCTTCAATATATTTTTTTTTTCCTTTTTCTTTTTTTTTTTTTTTTCAAAGAGGTCAAATGTATATGAAGTGCATGTTATCCTGAACTTTTTTGTTTGTACATCTTGGTGTCGGATCATCTGCATGAAAGACACAGTAGTGCCATGTCTGAGCTTGTTATCTTGTGCTTGGTTGGTATGAACTTCTCTAGATTGTTGAGTTTTTCCCCAGAATAACTTGGGTTAATATTTAGTTATTGGGAGACATCGAAACCAAACATCATGGTGGCCCTTTGTTTTCTTACAGTTTAAATACAAACGACAGAGCCTTGTGGTTTAAAGTTAATTTGTTAAGTGTAAATAAATTTCTTGCCAATGAGTATTATTGTTGTTAGACAACGAATGCAATAAAATGAGAAATCCTGAATCTTTATTAGAATCTGTATCGAGTCCTGACTTTCCTGCCCAACGTGCTGCTCCTTCCAGAAGCCAGGATCAAGGGTGAGTGATAAAGGGGACGGTGGCTGCTGCCCCGGGGGGGTGGGAGATGGGGGTACACCCTGTTTGTGCTTCCCTTCCCCCTGCTCACAGCCACAGATTATTTCAATCCCAGCTGTTGGCCAAATTGGCATGGTTCTCCGGCCTCTGAGCAGATCTTGTTTACAATCTGTAATTATGTAAAAAGAAGCGAAAAAAAAAAATATAGAGTAAGGAAACAGAATGGTTGTTTTTTTTTCATGTGCAGACAAAACGTTGCAGATTGATGTAAAAATGTTTTGCAATTTGTTGCAGATTGATGTAAAGAACGGGCTGCCTTCCTGCTGATGCTGGTCAGTGTGTGTGTGTTTAAAAGACCTGGATTGATTTTGGTATTTAAAACATTTTAGGCTCAAGGATAGACTAGTTGTAACGGGGATTTTTTTGCATTCAAAATGCAGCGGTTCTTCTGCTGAATGCATTTAATGTATCTTTATTATTTATATGTTTTTACCAAAGCAGAGGGCACAGACTGTCCAATTTGTGCCGTCCTTTGGGTGGATTTCCATCTGGCAGAATCTAGGCCAAATACTCTGCGTTTAATCTCTCCAACCCCCTCTGCCTTTCCTTGGTGCCTGAACCATAAATCTTGCTTTCTGCTAACATCACCACCAGCTGCAGGAAGGTGAGTCGAGTCCACAATCCATAAAATTATTATCTGCATTAAAATAGGCGTATTAAGAGGCTGTTAGCCCACGGCTGACGCGTAGAATGTCCCACCCCACACTGCTGTAATTCACGGTGGCCTGGTCCCAATTCCCACCTCCACACTGGGAGGCTGGGACACCCCTGGGGAGGTTGGCAACAGGCTTCCCACCCTCCTCGCCTGGGGTTAAAATTCAAAACGTCACTATTTTAGCAATAGCAGGTACTAAATCCTCCTGCAATCCCTCTCCTCTCAAATGCTTTAGGGGAAGGTAAGGCCCATCGCTGGCACGTCTGCAGACAGGCTGCTGGGAAAAGCTTCAGTACAAAAATAGTTTAAAAAAAGAGGGAAAAAAAAAAAAAGAAAAAAATTAAAAAAAATTCAGTGATGAGTGAACATATTATTTTATTTTCTGAAAAGCCAAAACCAAAAAAAAAAGTAGAAGTTGGACCTTGTCAAACAACATGTAGATTTGCTCATTTGAAGATGTTCTAAGCTGCTGGGAAACATGAAATTAGTGTTTTGTTGGGTTTTTTTCTGCCCCTGCTGAGGAAAACACCGGCTCTTGCAGCCACAGAGCAAACCCAGCCCCGGCAGAGGGACTGGTCAGCACTTAATTTACTTGAGAACAAAGAGTGGCACAAGCCTAAAATAATTACTTTTAAATGCTAGTGCAGAATGCTGATGGCTGATTGTGAACCAGTTAATTGCCCAGCCTCTCCTTATTGTGAGAACTTCCTTCAGAGCAGTGTTTTTCTGCCTGGGCTCCAGGGACAACCTCTGTTCCTCGGGGCTGAAAAGGGATTACAGGTTCCTGCAGGAAAGCACGGTGCTTCCCGGGGAAGCTGGAAACGTCCTGCAGGGAGAGACATCGCTGAGGAAGGAGCTTCAAACCCAGAACTGCAGTAAATCACCTTCTCGGGGGCTTGGTGATGCCAAAGGTGAGTCCAGCAAAGGGACGGGACAAAAGCTGCCCCTCCTTCAGGGTGGGCTCCTCTCTGCATGCCAGGGGTAGAGAAAGACGTGAAGCTGTGACCCAAAGGGATGGGACCCCATCACCAACACCTCCAAAGGCTGGCAGGCGGCAGACCCTGGGCAGTGCTCCAGTCCCCAAATGAACCATGGGCACTTTGGAGAGCACGGTTTATGCATGGACCCACTCGTGCCCTATCGTGTCCAAGGGACAGGGTCATTCAGCCCCATGGTGGCTCGCAAAGCTCATGTCTCCTCCTCGACCCATCCCTGGCCACCTGCAGCATGTGGTGTCTGTACAGGAAACATCACAAACAGCAGCAATCGCTGTTGCTACAGAATCACAGCATGATACGGGGTTCAGGGAAGGTGGAAAGACACTGAGGTGATGGAGCGGGTCCAGAGAAGGGCAATGGAGCTGGTGAGGGGTCTGGAGACCAAGTCTTGTGAGGAGAGGCTGAGGGAGCTGGGGGTGTTCAGCCTGGAGAAAAGGAGGCTGAGGGGAGACCTTCTCACTCTCTCCAACTCCCTGAAAGGAGGGGGTAGCCAAGGGGGGTCGGTCTCTGCGCCCCAGGAACAGGCAATGGGACAAGAGGAAACGGCCTCAAGTTGTGCCAGGGGAGGTTTAGGATGGATATTAGGGAAAAAAATTTATATGGAAAGCGTTATTAAGCCTTGGAAGAGGCTGCCCAGGGCAGTGGTGGAGTCACCATCCCTGGAGGGATTTAAAAGCCGGGCAGATGTGGTGCCCAGTGGGAATCAGCTCTGTAGGAACTGGAAGTCAAACACAGAAGACCCATCCGTGACCCACACCTGGGGGTAATCACGGTGGCAGAGCACCCAGAAATGCTCCCTTTGCTGTGACAGACAGTAATTGCCAATGCACTTTTCACTGAAGGTGCTCGGGAGTCAGTGCCCACTCTTTAAGAAGAAAAAAGGCCTTTTTTAAAACTCCCTTTGAAGACTCATTAAGAAACCACTCCAAAGTGATGCCCCCTCCTCTTTTCTCAGTAGGACTAAGACAAATTAATGAAACTAAAGTAACATCAGGAAATGGCTTAAAGGGGAAAAAGGGAAGAAATGAGACTGAAATAACATTTATTCTCCTTCCACTTATTTTAGAAGTGCCAGGAAAAGCCAACAGGAAGGTTCAGAAGAAGAGCCCTTCGCACAATCCCTGGGGAAGCCAAAAGGCTGTTGACAAGAAAGCACACACCACGCTGGCAGTTAGCAATTCTCTTTTACAAAACCATTTTTCTTCAGGGGAAAACAAAAACAAACAGCAGAAATCCAGTTGCAACAGATAATTCAGTGTCTGACATCTTAGTCATCTGTAATCCGCATTTGAACGTCACGGTTACCCTCTGCTGCTGACACAGGGTCCTCCGCCACACACAGATTAACTAATTTCTCACCTTCGGTTCCATTTCCTTTACTATGGCATGAGACTCTCGTTTGGGAGAGGAAGGCTACGCTAGGTTTCCATGAGTCAAGCTCACCTCTACTGGAACAGTCCTGTCGTTAGGAAATCTAGTGGAAACGAAGCGCGTTGCCAAGGGATCCAACCCCTTCCAGGGCAGCAGGCCTTACCCGCCGGAGGAGCTATAGCTGGCAGTGGAGAGCTCTGTGGAAGACGGTGCCGATGAGCAGCTGCCCCTGGTAGACGGATGCCACCGAGGTCCCCTGCAGCACAGAGCCGTTGTCGGCGTAGACGCGGGTCACCACCGGCTCCTCCGAGAGGATGTTCTGGATGCGCAGGACCTGCCCGGGGAAGGAGGGATGTATCTGCTGAAAACGGCCGCAGGTGGAGACCCTCCACCCAGGAAGGGGTGTTAATTTAAACAAATTAGCTTGGTTCATCAGCTGCTGATAACTGCAACCAGGTGATTCCTGTGATAGGGCCACAATTTCTGCTCCAGTCAAGCGTGGTCCATGAAGACCCATTATATTTTTTTAAGTGGTTGTGCAATAGAGACTCCACCCCAGCAAGGAAGGAAGGCAGGCAGCCACCCCCAGCTCTAAGCATGTGCACGGTTTTCTCCAGCCTAGAAATTACTCAACATCATCTTATTTTCATGCTTTTTCCAGACAAAAAAAGGGCTTAGTTATGGGGTTGGAACTTGATGATCTTTAAGGTCCCTTCCAACCCGAACCATCCTATGATTCTAGTACCTTAAATCTACTGCTGTTGAACAGGATAATGTTGAAAAGCATCTTATGGGAAAGTTGAAACCAAACAGGCTCCAACCAGCGACCTGCGCTGATGCCAGTATCCCATTGATTGCAGAAGGGAAGAATAATTGCAGTGTCACCTGCTGATGAGCCACACTTGCACAGATAAATCACTCCCGGGCGAACGCTTCTGCTGAGTGCTTTGCACTCACTCAATTACTTTTTTTGTTTGGCAAAGAGGTGCCGGCTCGGTAATTAACACAGTTCATCAAAATCTGATTGCGCAGTCACAGCTGCACAGAAACCAGCCTGAGGAGTCCAGCGCGACTGAGCTGCTGGGTGGAAACCATTCACTTGTCTCCTAAGGATCTGAATCGGTGTTTGTTAGTGAGTATGTGCTGCTCAGGCTTCCCACTGGAGAGCAGGAGCTGTAAGGTGGGCACCAGCTCAGCCTTTGCTTTCACACAGGCTGGGCAGGCTCTCCTCTACATAAGAGGACAGGCTGAGACAGTTGGGGGGGTCTTCAGCCTGGAGAAGAGAAGGTTCTGAGGAGACTTTAGTGCCCCTTCCAGTCCCCAAAGGGGCTCCAGGGGAGATGGGGAGGGGAGCCATAGGATGAGGGGGAAGGACTTGACACTGAAAGAGGGGAGATGGAGCTGAGATGTGGGGAAGAAGTTCTTTGGTGTGAGGGTGGTGAGAGCCTGGCCCAGGTTGCCCAGAGAAGCTGTGGCTGCCCCATCCCTGGAGGGGATCAAGGCCAGGTTGGAGGGGGCTTGGGGCAACCTGGTGTGGTGGGAGGTGTCCCTGCCCAGGGCACAGGGTTGGAACTCAATGATCTTTAAGATCCCTTCCAACCCAAACCATTCTATGAGTCTATACCGCAAAGTTACACCAGGGGGATTTGACAGAGCAGCCTTCTGGCACAGACAGAGCCAGGACACCAGTGTCTCCCAAAACGCACCTCAGAGGCAGGCAGATTTTCAGGATCATTGTAGAACAGCTTCAACCCATTGGGATGACACCCTGTCCAGATATCTCCAGTCTGAGGGTCAATAGACAGGTTGTCAACCAGAGTGTCCAGCTGCAGTGCCTATCCATGATGGAGGAAAAAGAACAAGAGAGAGGTTAAAGCAATCAGAAGCCCTGGAAGCAAACTACAACATAACCACTAGACTTGTCCAAGACTCTCATCTGACAAAACTTGGACTGATTTTTTTTAAAAACTATTTTCTACCTCATGGCTGGTTTGTTTTTTCCACCCACAGTATGCTTCATCCCCTCCTCCATGCCATGAGACACCTCCTTGCTGCTCTGAGCTTGCCCCGTGGGCTCATTCACGCCTACGCTGGTGTTGGTTACTGCAGTGCTTTGTGGACTGACCCGCACTGATTGAGGCAGGCTTCCACCGTGGCTCTACAGCACACCTGAGACACCTTTCTGGTCGCTGGTGTGAGGGTGGAAGACATGAAGAGAGCTCCTCTGCAAACCCACAGCAGGAGCCACCCAGAAAACACATGATCAGGCTGAAATCTCAAGCGTTCACGGGGGACTACTCGGTCCAAAATTCATATATGCCCCTTTTATATGGAACAGCAGCACCTTACCTTCACGTGGGTTAAATTCCAGTTAGCATGTTTTTCCATAACATGGATGTTATGATCAAATACATCTGCAACATAGATGTACCTTCAAAAGAAAGCACCTCTTAGCAATGTGTATGAGTCAGCAGACACCAAACCCAGTCAGTTCCACCTGCGCAGTCCCAGCTCTCCCCGTGAGGATGCCAGCCCACAGCTCTCGCATGGCAACGGGCACTGCAAGCAGGCCACAGGGCGCTGAGCTGCAGCCAACCTGCTGGGGCTCCACGCTGTGCCAGCTCCCCCGTTGCGACACCAGAGCAGGGCTCGGGCTGTCAGACCCACAACTCTGCTTTATTTTTCACTTCGCATCACCTGCCTCAGCCACAGGACTGGCTAATTCAGTCCTCCAGGCTCCGGGAGTGCAGAGCATCCCCCACGTCAGAAATTCTGCCCCATTAATCCCTGCAAGTAATATGCACACATTTCTATACTGGCTGAGTAAAATGCAGCAGTGTTTGATCTGACTGCATACAAACCACCACACAAAGCAGCAAACATTGCCTCGAGCTAAGGACTGAGACACACAACTTCTGTTCCACAAACCCTTCACCTCACTTACGTTGTACAGCTGGCACCTTGCCTTACACAAGCCAACTTAGACACTTTTCCACGTGTACAAATGAGGATTTGGGGATTCTTTTGGGTGATCGAACAAATTCTGAAGCAAGGAGAAACTTACTTTTTGTCGGGTGAAATGTTGATTCCGTTGGCTGAATAAAACCCAGCTGCTACTTCTTTCACTTCTTTTGGACTGTAGTAAACAACGTTTGACCAAGTCAAACCCAAGAACATCTCCAGGAACATCAAGATGAAGTCAGAGAAGTAGTGGTCATTGGTAGCATAAAAGCTGTCGGGTCCCATAGCTACTATATCATTCACACTAAAAAAAATAAGAAGAGAGGGAGAAAAATAGGTAAAAGACTGAAATGAGAGGTGGGAAGGAGTGTTGTAGGATGGCCCAGATTCCAACTAGGACATGGTCATCTCATAGACATAGAGAGGCTGCAAATACAGTAGACCCTTTCTACTTCTGTCCTCTTTTACATGGGCCAGGACCGTGCAGCACTGAAGACAACCATAGATTGGCGACCTGTCTACATGCCCATGGAAGTTCTTCTCTCTTTTGAGTACACTCAACTGGAAACCAGAGAACAGGCAGGAATTGTGACAACTTTTTTTCTTTCAGGCTCTCTTTATCTTATGATCATTTTGCAGTAGGACAGACCAAGAAAATTTTGTATGCAAAAAAAAGAGGAAAAAGCTAGTATGTTTTACAGTGTAGCAAATTCAGAATAATAGAATATCTGAAGGCTCATATCTGCAATGATCTCAGAGTGGGTTATGTGAGAGAAGGAGAAATGGATGCCAAGCTAATTCACCGGCATCGGTCACAGCATTGCTCAACACCGAGTTAGAGATCCAACTATTAAAGATCTCACTTACATAAGAGATTCAAGAAACACAGGTTTTGATTACAGAGATAAGAAGGAATCAGTAAGAGAAACAGGAAAGCTGGTTAAAGACAAAATATCTTATATTAATAATATCCTAAAACCAAAATCATCCTAGTTTGGATTTTACCAAAGCAGCCTGTTCTGGGGAAGGACAGATTTTGGCTCCAATACCTGGTCAGAAGGTCGTGTCGAATGGTTTTCAGGTGTACGAGAGAATTGTCATCTTCTACAAATTTAAACACTTCTACTGTGCTCTTCTGATGGGGATGATTCACAACAAAGAGGTACACGGTGTTGTCTTAAAAAATAAAACAAAACCAAGCCAAAATCAAAACAGGAACAGGAACATGTCCAGGTGGGTTTGAATGTCTCCAGAGAAGGAGACCCCACCACCTCCCTGGGCAGCCTCTGCCAGGGCTCTGCCACCCTCACAGCAAAGAAGTTCCTCCCCATGTTTAGGTGGAGCTTCTTATATAAACAACAAATTTGATAATTTGTAGTTCACAAATTTGTTAATTTAGAAATTTGATAATTTGTAGTCAGCTATGAAAGCCTCTGTCCTGGTCACTACTAGTTGGTGAAGCAAACATCTCCTGGAAACCCTTGACCCCCAGGTGAGATAGATGTAAATTGGTAAAATAAACTTCTTGTAGTTTTCAACTCAAACTTTTCCTGTGTTCTCTTTCCTTTCAATATATAGGACATCTTTCTGTCTCAGACAGTTGGAGATTACGTGCAAAGGTATCATGTCCTTTAGCAGTTGACCTTTAGAAAAGAGCCCAGTAGAGTTAAAAAGCCCCAAAAAACCTTTTTCTCTCCCAACGAGCGCAGGCTGTTGGGGGTGCAATATAAGGCCACAAAGGGGTTTCTATTCCTGCTCTTTAGGCTGAGATCAGCCACCACCTCCATCCAGATAAAGGCCTCCTTACCTCTGTCCACGTAGGTGCTGATTCCATGCGGGTTAAACGACGCCAGATCAAACCCTCGGCTGATCCTCAGTTCCACTGCTCTGGGGTTGTCCTTGTTCAAATCCATCAAAAATATTTCGCCTGGCTTGTCCGGTGCGAGGCTCTTTATTCCTGGGTATTTTAGGCCCTAAAAGTAAAATCAAAACCATGAGAAAAGTCACTCATGGATAAGAGGTGAAGGGAGAGCATCACCCCCCAGGGTGGGTGCTCCCTGTATCTCAAACGTGACACGCTGAGGGGGACACACAAACTGGAGATGTGGCACCATCGAGTGCACCCAACGTGGTAAAGCTACAGGGGACAGCAGCAGTGTGACAGTTCATGATTTTTTGGGCATGTATTTTGCAATCCTTGGCTGGGTGATGTAGGTGAAAACGCCAGCTTTTGTTTTAGAAAATAATCACCTGGTTGCAAAGCAAAGTTTGAAAACCTTTGTCCTGAAGGCTAAACAAAAAAATATCAGGAGCAACAAAATCAAGGCACAAAATCTGTTAATTTTTTCTTTTTTTGGATAGGGAATTAACACACCTTCTTAAGGAGAGAGAGAGGTTTACCATGTCAACATTTCAAGCAAGCAGCATGAAAGCAATTGCAGGTTGTGTGGGTGGAACAGCCAACACAACAGGGTACGTGTGTCTGAGCCACCACCACCACTTCGGTGGCCAGAGGAGCACTTGCTCGAGCAGAAGGAAACACCAGCAAAGCCCAACACAAGTCTGGGCAGTTTCTACAGAGCCGGCCTTGTAGGAAAAGGAGCCCATCTGGCAGTTTTCCCCTCGGGTTCAGTGGATAAGGAAGCAGGAAAACCCCTACGTGGGGAAGGGGAGCGGGCACTTACGGAGCTGATGAAAGCCAGTCCATTGGGAAGGATGTCGATGTCTTCTGAACCAGTTTCTGCAACACAGGGGTTTTCAGATGACATTAAACATTTCCCATCAAAAAAAACAAAAAACAAAAAACAAACAAACCACAAAACCCACCTAATTTTTTGTACAGTTCCAACCCTCATGAATGCCCTGCTCTGACACGACCGAATCAGCGATGAAGCTCAGCAGGAAAAGTTCCCATCGCAGTAAAAGCGGCAGCAGCACATGGGGTGAGGGAATAGCAGTGGGGTTCACCTCTTTCTGGGGCGATCCCACTTTTGATGACAGGGTTCTGCAGCTAGTAATTTGCCCAGGGGATGGCATTTTCAGGGCAAGACCATACCCACGGCCCAGCCTGCATGCTTATATAAGGCAGCGCTGGGAATTGGGAGTGCTAATTCTCTTGGTTGAGCTGGGACACTCCACTGAGAGGGATTGCCAAGTATTTAGTTAAACCTCTCCAGTGACAGAGAACCTACTGTATCTTTAACAGCCAAGGGTTTTAATAGTTAGACCACACTTTTAACTGCAGGTAATAATTTGCTATATTGCCAGTTCCTATAATATTTTTCCCTGCTAGGAAAATATAAAATAAAAAATAAAATAAAAAATAAAATAACATGACATTAAAAATAAAATAAAATAAAATAAAATAAAATAAAATAAAATAATAAAATCCCTTTAGTAAGAACACAAGAGCAATTTTAGGCTTTGATCAAGCACTCTCCCTAGATCTTTTTGTCCAACACTGAAGGCCATTTGCCGTCCCACATTTTCACCCCTCCCCTGAGAAGCCGCCCCTCTCCCCCTCAATCACCATAAACCCCTTTCCAGATGGTGGCTGGATTAAACCTTCCCAGGAGCTTTTGCTTATAGGAGGAAACTCTTCTGCAGGTTCTGTTTAACAGGGCCACCAACACAAAGGTTTTTCCACCCAGTTTCCCCCGTCTCTCTGCACCGCCTCCTGCTTGGCCATGGACCACACGCTTGACCCCATGTGGGTCCCACCATCCCTGGCACCTCCTCCTGAGGGTTCAGCATCTGCAAATTCCAGCTGGGTTTATTCTGTGCTTTTCTGTAACTCCCATTTATGGCGACACTGATTCCACTGGGCTGTAATTTACCCCAATAAATATCTAAACGTTCTAAAAATAAAAATATAAATTGTAAAAATTTCTAAAAATATCCCATAAGAGCCCAACAGCTCTTATGGGGAGAACTCAGACCACCACACTCATCCACCCGGGCAAGGTCCTTCTCAGCCCAGCCCTGGACATGGTTGCAGGACTTTCCCTGGAGGGACAGGGCAGAGGACGAGGCCAGCTCCTCCCCAGCCTCAGCAAGCCTCCAGGGGCTACAGAATCATAGAATTGGGGACCTTAAAGTCCCCCCAGTGCCACCCCCTGCCCTGGGCAGGGACACCTCCCACCACACCAGGTTGCTCCAAGCCCCCTCCAACCTGCCCTTGAACCCCTCCAGGGATGGGGCAGCCACAGCTTCTCTGGGCAGCCTGGGCCAGGCTCTCACCACCCTCACACCAAACAAGTTCTTCCCCACATCTCAGCTCCATCTCCCCTCTTTCAGTGTCAAACCCTTCCCCCTCATCCTATGGTGGGATTGCCATGACCCACGTGCAGCACCTCGCACTTGGCCTGGCTGAACTTCACAACGTGCCCACAGACATTTAAAGCCTGCTGTTTTCCAACTCAAATTTTGAATTTGTGGGGTTCTTTTTCAGCTCAGCTCATGCCCTGGTTTAAGCAACACCTCGCCCCAGCTCTCGGTCTCTCCAAGCCTGGGCTCATCATCCACGGGACAGGGTTAGTGGCAATCCCCAGGATTGCTGCAGAGATAACAACAGGATAACTACGATAACAACAGCGCCTGGGCTCATCCACGGGACAGGGTTAGTGGCGATCCCCAGGATTGCTGCAGACAGGATAACTATGATAACAACAGGATAACTACGATAACAACAGGAACCGAGGCGGAGAGGCCCCATTGCCATGGTGACGTAAGCGGGACAGACAGCTCCTGATGGCAGAGCATGCTGCTGAGACATCAGAGATAGATACCATCATTTATCGCTACAGAATCAGTGAGCCTGGCCAGCAGAGAGAGATCAGAGATACCATCATTTATCACTACAGAATCAGTGAGCCTGGCCAGCAGAGAGAGGAGCAGGCTAATTGGGAGCGGGTAATTAGAAAGCAGGAGTTTCTGGTGGCAGGGAGAGCCCTGCACCCAACTGCTTCCAAAGAAACCGCCCAGCAAAGCACATTCTGGTCACCTCTCGGCCAGGTCTGGGGTATGTTGGAAGAGCAGTGAGATGCTGACCCAGGGCCATCCTGCTGAGCTGGCACTGCCGAGGTGGCCAGGAGGGGACAGGGGACACACAGCCCGGCCTCTCCCATGGGACCCGATGCAGGGGGGCTCTGAGGTGGCATAAAGGACAGGAGAGCTAGGAACTGATTTATTCGGTGCCAGTTACCTGCACTATACTGCCTAACTTAAATTAGGTTGACGGTTGGACAAGATGATCCTTAAGGTCCCTTCCAACCTAGAAGATTCTGTGATTCTGTAACTGCATCACCCAGCCCAGCTTGGCCATGGGATTATCTGAATAGGTACCATTTTAAAAAAAATAAAGATACTGAGAAAAATCACTGCTACCCTAGAAAAGCCCTTTTTTTTTTTTTCATTTTCATTTTATCTTAGTATGATGTATTCCCCAGGTGCATCTAATGAAAAAAAACCCACCTGGATTTCATATCCAAAAGCAAGTGTGTTGGCCTATAGCCCATTAGTCGGTCCAAGGTGCAAGTATTTCTAGCAATTTCTATCCTAGCTTCTTGAGCTTTAGGAATTAGTTCAGGACATATGGTTAGTTTATTATATATAAGCCAGTAACATGAGTAGACGCTCCTATAATTCAGAAAATACTGTTTGTTCTGCAACTATAGCCTTTTCTACATATCTGTGGCTGAGCTTTAGGACAAGCTGCAGGTTTTCACTGGTTCGTTCAATGTTTGCACCTGTGCTTACATTGCACAATATTTGAAAAACAGAAGAGATCAAGGCCTTAAAAAAAGAGAGAGAGACACTCAAAGGATGAAATTATGCAGAAAGGATAGGATCCACTGGCAAATTTTTCCGTTTGCTTCCTTTACCACGGATGCAGTGCTTTTAACATAACTACAGCAGACGGTACCAGCTGCCTGTTCCTCCATGGACAGAACGGACAGTTTAAGATTATTTTGCTTGGAGCTGGTCCAGCTCATTACCCGTGGTCCCACTTAAGAGGCCAGAAGGACTATTCCAAATATTAGATAAAGACAGACCACGTGTTCAACTTTGTCACAACAGCATTTTAAAGGCAGGAGGCCCAAGAAGCCCATGCAGACACATCCATGCATCCTTACAGATCCCAGCACAGCAAAAGCCCTGGTTTGGATAGTGCTTCCTACACAGCTGAGTTAAGTTTTGGCACTATAATTTTTTCTGAAAAGCTGCAAACAGCAGAGGGAAGGCCAGGCGAGGTGAAGGGAAGGGCACAAGAGCCCAGCGAGAAGCAGAAGTGAAGCTCTGTAAGATGATCTCCAGGCAAATGCCAGGCTCCAAAAAGGAGACACTGCTCAGAAATTAAACACACCTGCCATTGTGATATCCAGCTTTCCTTCTTCCCTCAACAACCATGGTGCAAAAAAGTCTTGCAAAGATTGCAATAGTGATATGCTGAAAAGAATTACTCAGAAATTAATTTTTTTATATGAATCACCATCAAACAAGCATTATTTATTCAGTGTCTTGTATGAGTAAATTACAGCTACATCTGGAAAGCTTTTTCAAATGCAATTTCTTCTGCACGTAACCTCAGGCAAAGGAACTCTGCATCCTCTCCCTCATGGCAGTAATTTGACTTCACAAAGATGTTTGATTCCTGACACAAGGAAGAAGCAAGATTTATGAAGATGACACAGTGACTCAGCAAGCTCAAAGACAAGGCTCTTAGCTCACCCAACGACTTTTTACACTTCCAAAATCCAGGCAAATTTCAACAGAACTCAAGACATTTCTGAAAATACTGAGGAGGAGAAAACCCCCAGCTCATTGTGCCTGTATTAAGTTTAAAAACTATAATCTGGGGGAAAGGGAGACACAAAAAAGCCATCAATTTCAATGCTATTCATTTTATCCTCTGGTTATCCTAAAGGGAGAGAAAAAAAAAAAAAAACCAAAGCAACATTGCCATGTGGTCCACAAATGACCCAAAGTACAAAGTCAACCCTGTGAAACCTCTTCACCAAAGCCAGACCAAAACGGCAAATATTGCCCCTTGCTCTTTGAAACCACAGGGCTGGGTTGCACAACCTGCCCCTGGCACCTCCCCACCTAAATCTCCCAACTAAATCTCCCTGAAACCAGGCACCAAAGCTAGTGTTTCCCAGGGGGAACAGCCTCAGCTTCCCCACGGACCCATGGTCTTCTCCCAAAGCTTCCACCCTTCAGGATGCCACCGGCTGACGACCACCCATGGGACCCACCTGAAGAGCCAGCACTACCCTCATCCAAACGCCACACCACTTCCTAAGTGGCTGAGTGAAGGAGAAGTGTTTGCAATGTGCTTGTTTTCAAGAGAAGGAGCAGAGACATTAAATACCCAAGGCAAAAACCTATCACACCAAGCCAGCTAGTTTCCTCAGTCTGATTTTCTTCCCGCAGTTTGTCCCTACCTCAAAGTCCAAGTAACAAATGAAAGTCAAATCAGCGCTTTGCTCTCGGGACCAGGCTTGGGAGCTGGCTTTAAGGAGCAGTTGCAGAATGAGGCCAGACAAAAGCAATGCACTCAGTTATTTCCAGCACGTACCGATGCCTTTAATGAGCCGGCAGTTCGGGGGGGACACTGGGGCGATTTCCCGGGAAGCGTTGAGTCTGTTCCTGCGGGAGGAGAGAGGAGGGTTAACAGCACACAGTCAGCTTTAACACAGGTAACATTCCTAGCATAGCTTTATCTTGGTTTTATTGTCTGCCGTATCGCAGCGACTAGTCAGCTGTAAAATACTGAATAAGCAAAACCCAGAACTGACAACAGCGATTGCCCCAAATCACTGTGATGGCTGCAGGGTCATTCTCCACCCTGAATGTCTGCAGGAACCCGACTTTGCTCACCAGCTTCAGGAAAGAGCTTTCATGATCCACCACGGCTCAAACAATAAAATAACACGGCCACGTTTTCTTCAGGTTTCAGCCGCCTAAATATAGTAGCCCCCGCAGTTAGGGACCAGCATTTCAGATGAGGAGAGGGAGCCTTCTTCTACCCCAACCCACCGGCTGGATTTGGTGACCAGGCCACCAGCAGTTCCACTTGCTCCTTTTCTTAGCCCACACTGAGAAGTGGAGATAGTGTTACTGCAAGGCAGGACCACCCATTCCTTAACAACAGTGGGACTCGCTGGTACGATGTTCAGCAGTTACCCTCTCCCTTCCTCCTCTCTCCTGGTACCCGCCAGAGCACCATCCCTCAGCAGGGATTATTTCATTCCTGAACAGCCACGGAATTTGCTCTCCAGCCCAGGCTCCGCTGGACGAGCAGATACAGCCAGGTACCCACACATTAGTTTGCATTTCTTCATCTCCTCCATCCCAAGTTGTCCCCAAATCTATACGAAAGGCACCTCACCACCAGGACTGCTGGCTGTCACCATGGTGGTGCCACGAGCAAATACGTCCAGTTTCTATGTAAAAACGTCAAGCGAGTGTTCTAGAATATTTCATTTTCTTTTCCTTTTTCCCCAGAAGAAAGCTTTTAAACTTACTCTTTTGCATGCCTCTAATACACACACGCTGAGGCTGT